ATAAAGTAAACATCGTCGAATCTTATCTTTTCACTCGTCAAATGCATTGTTTTGCAGAAAAAAACAATCGCTTTGAGGATTTTCACTAAAGGCTGCCATTTACATTCGATAACAAGCGTTTGATGTATATTTAAATCGAGTGGCTTTTTTTCGTCCTGGCCGCGCGAACGCTACCGTGGATATCGAAATGCGCAGGGCCGAACTTAAGTTTTTTAATATTTTATTTTTTTTTATAATTTTTTAACCTACGTTGATTTTTAATAATTATTTAATACTTTTTTAGGAATTTTCTGATGATTTATGTTCTATTTTTGTCAATTTTATATACAGGGTGTAAAAAATTAATCCGGCAAAAGTATGAAACAAATTCATTGCAAAAATCACCTTTTTTTTCAAAAAAAAATCCTTGAATTAGTAGATTTATATTTAAAAAAGTTTTGACCCAGCCGGGGATTGAACTCAGGTCTGTCACTTGTCAAGCTTGTCAAGCTGTTGTCATAACCTATGTGGCTATCAGTCAATCTTATAAAAATCAATTTTATTTGTCAATAAATTTGGTTCATAATATTTTAAAGTTGAATATATTATTTGTGTTGCTGTTTTAAGGAAAACTGTTTGCATCTTTGTTTGTTTTTATGGGCCATTTAACAATAGAGCCTATATGCATTTAATTCAAATAATACTTTGTTGTTGGCCGCAAACGATTAAAGAAATTAGTTAATTTTAACTCTCAGAAATAGTCAAAGATGGTGACTAATCTTAAATTAGTCAAACTTTAACCATTTACGTAGTAAAAAATAACTATTTAAAAGTAAAAACAATTATTTTATTATTAAAAAATGCTGGTACTACTTCAAATAGTAGAATGTTGACTATTTCATTTTAAGAGAGTACTAGATGGAAAAACTTTTAGTTAACCTTTCATCTGTCTCTCAAGCTTTTTCTAAATATTTCTAAATATTTAAATATGGGCCATTTAACGGAAACACTAGAACAATACAAGAAGTTTATTTATTAAATGCAAAGTATCCAGCTCGACCTATTTATTACTCGTGGTACGGTTAGTAAAATTGAACGGAAATTCAGAGAAACTGGACATGTCAAAGATGTTTCAAAACCTGGCCAGGGAAAATCCTCATTGGGTAGTAGGGGCAAATTTCCAATACAATACAATATAGTGAGATAATATAAAGATCGTGTTTGCGTGTTGCGACAAAAAGTCGACTACCATTTTGTATTATCTCGCCGAATAACTCCATACATTTTGAGAAATGCTGAAAATTCAAGTCAGCCAACGTTCAGTATTGCGTCTTATGAAGAAAGAAAAGTACCATCCATACAAAATGAGACTAGTGCAGGAACTTAACGAAGATGATCCGGACCGTAGACAACAATTTTGTGAAACATGTTGAATTTATGTAACAATAATCCATACTTCTGTTTGAACGGTACCTACAGTCAACCGTCAAAGTTGTAGGTACTGGAGATGAGAAAATCCTCATTGGATCCCAATACCGGCAAAAAGTGAATGTCTGGGCAGGAATGGTGGAAAATAGGATCACAGGTACTTTGTTCTTTGACGAGAATATGACAGGACAAACGTATTTGGAATTTTTGCAAAACTCTCTAATGTTTCCCAATAAGAATGGAGGTGTTCAAGGAATTTATTTTTACGACACCTTCGCATTTTCCAGGCGCCATCTACATTAGAGAAATCTCAAAATTGGTTAGTGTTTTATTGGACACATTGCGTGCCACGTCTGTCATATATGCAAGAAACAATATTCACTACCAGGCCGCGTCTTGCAGATATGCTTGACGCTACACGCTTTATCTTATGGGTTATAAATTTGTGGCCTGCCAGGAACATTTTGGTATATTTGGTTCGAGCAAATTCGGAAAATTACTATTTTTTTTCGATGATTTATACGAGACATCATGCATGGTTTAAGGTTTATTATTATAGGATACTTTCCAAATATACACGGGGCTTAGCTGTGGGCCGGGCGAGGGCCCTCCGAGGCCGGGCCTGCGAAAATTCGACGCGGACGACGAGTTTGGGTTGTTGACCCGTCAGATGGCGCTGATACACCTCAGCGTGGGCTTCTCGATGTCGCGTTCTGCTAATATATCTCCTCCGTGTCGTTTGTTGTCCATTAAGGTAACGGGACAGGGCGGCCCGAATGCCCAGCGCACGGCAGACTCGCACACAAGCCGCACTCCATGTTTCTTCTATTATTTTATCTCGGGGTTCGCTGCCAAACTAACGCTTCGCGGCTCGGTGTGTGCGGAATTAGTTCGCGTTCCGTTCTTTGCCGCCATGCCGCCGCCTGAATGAGAATAAATTTTGCGTCGGCATTGTTCTTCTTTATTTACACTTTGTTTCCATTTCCACGGCCATTGTTTCCGACGACAGGCATCTATTCAAATGGAGTCCATCGACGCTCGGCGGGCTGGGCCCAATAGTCCAAAAAAGTCAACTTTATCTGATCAAAAGAATAATACACCAATGTAAAGAAAAACCTTTATTTGAGATTCCGAAAGAAAAAGTTAAAAAACACTAATTAGAGTTCACACTAAATAGTAAGCAAGTATGATTTAACACTAAAGCACTGAGGATAAAGTAATTTTACACTGTATCCTGGGTAAAATCCCACTTTTGTTCAGTGTAAATTTGGAAAAGTTCTAATTTTGGAAAGGTATTTTTACTCTTCTAGTGTAACACTATTATTTGAGTAAAACCTATTGGTGGTAATGAATAAAACGAAAAGGTAAATGAAGAAAAACATTTATTTGGAACAAAAATCTATGACAATTATCAAAATCGGTGCCTTTTAAAATATAATCTTATATTTGAGTCGTATGGCTGGCTTAAGCAAAATGGTTCCTTGAAACGTAAAAGTTTTAGATCAATGCAATGTTTTACTGGCTGTCAACTTGTAAGCAATGAATTATATTGAAAATTCATCAGTAATCCATGTTTCTGTCATAAAAAATCGGTAATCCCATTGGTAGAGAGGCGTCAGGCGGCTGTATGTCGGGTATTTACCACACGTTTACAAATTTTCCATAATATTAATAAAAATGTAGGTATAGATTAATATAACAACCATTACGCTTGAAAATAAAAAGTAAATTAAGTGTGTATGTATTTATATTATTAATGTTACAAGTACCCGACCTACTGCCGTAAATTATTGATATATAATATAGGTCGGGTATGGACATCCTTTTAACATATTGGTATTTATTGAGTATTAAGGCCTAAAGAAAAAGGAAGTATAATACTTACCAAAAAATAAGAATGTCCCCTTATGGATTCACCGTAATTAAAATCTAACTGAACAAAAATGCCACACTTCCACAACGCGGTATCTCCGGATATGCACTGCGTAGGTAGATAGGTACCAACCAAACATTTTAAAACGAATTTCGGTTATTACCAGTTTTTTCAGTCTATTTTGGCACTATTGGTGTAATTTAACTTTAATTGTGATACAATGTGCACTAGTAGTGTAAAGAAAAAAGAGCTCTTAGTAACATCAAATGTTCAAAACTTTTTAAACTTTGACCTAAGATATCTTTTGAATGAATAGGTTTACGAAAAAAACATAAAATACTTTTTTTGTAGAGCATTTATTTTTGAATAAAATGAAATGTATTATATAATTATAATAATAATATTTACTCTTGGCGTCACGTTAAATGGTATTTCCCCAAATTAAATACATTTGGTTAGCATTGGCAACGGTGTGATGATGACGAGTCGCATTAGAGAAAGACACATAGCTGATGGGCAAGATGGATGAACTCCCATTGTAATTACTGTTAGTAGAAGTCCAGTTTTTGTGGCAGCGCTCATCCTCCTTATGATACAAAATTTTTCGTTTTTGGTTGCCGAGCGAAATTAGCCGCGCTCTCGAAGAAGAAGAAGACGAAAGACTCCATCGTCTCTCGTCGTTTGTTTTGCGTCTAGGATGGTGCGATGTTATTTGGTTGGAAAAAATTAATGAATTAAGTTGTGTGGTTGATTAACGATTCGGAGATATGTTATTGTTTTTGACGCGCTGCATTCGTTTTAAATAAATTATATTGTGTCGGGTTTTTAAGGTGGCGCAATCAAGATAATTTTTCTTCATAGAATTTAAATTAACTTTGATAATCATATAGTTATTTATATTATATTATGAAAACATTTCAATCTTTGATTTTTAGTTAAATTTTGTGTAGATATTTATAAATTTAAATAAACATTATTTAAGTGGAAGTTAACTTTTTAAGCTGCTTTCAAAAATGCAATCAGAATGTATCTTCTATTGTTTTTGAAATCAGCTTATCAAGTTACCGCTGGAAACAATTTTTTACTTTAATAACCTAAGGAGTAAAAAATGGCAAAAAAATTTAAAAATCAAAATTGTGGTTTTATTTATTTTTTGAGAGCTAATATGGACAATATGAACAAAATGGAACCAATATATATAAATGGATAGGGTATAATATATTATCATACAGAAAAATTGTAAAAAAAAGAATGTAATAAAAAAAAGCTTTCCTAAAAAATGTATGTTGCCTCCAACATCCCACACAAAATTATACAGGGTTATCCAGTATTATTTGTTGCTGTTATTAACTTTTCAAATTGATTATAAATTGTCACCCATGCTTCTGCAATAAATCACGGGTCATATTGTTTACAACTAACACAAAAACGTTTTTTTACGAAACCCAAGTTTAATTTAATGGTATTTACGAGCAACAATTGCTTTTTCTTTGTTCCACCATTGATAATATTTTTTTCCTTGTAAATCAAAGAATTTCTATTGTGAACTTCATTGCCATTTTACGATGACACTTTTAATTGTTAGAAGTAATTAAAACCTATAAACGTGGAAGAAGAAAAAATAAAATAAACGTCAATTTTTGTTATAAGCGTGGAAAATCACGCCGCACGACCTGTTAATTAAATTTAACACGTTGATAACTTTTGGTTTTGTTTTCAGGTTTCCGCTACTGATCCCGACTGCGGCATAAATGCTATGGTCAACTACACTCTAGGAGACGGATTTGGAAAAATTAAGGAGTTTCAGGTCAAGTCGGACACCGGAGAAATTTGCATCAAGTCTGATTTAGATTACGAAACGAGAAACACCTATGAATTTCCAGTTATAGCAGCTGATAGAGGTAAGATTATAGTTTAGAGAAAATACAGACCATATACAGTAAAAAAAAATCAACTATAAGCAACACTAATTAGAGTTCACCCAGGTCCACACTAAATAGTGTTGGTTTATAACACTACAATTAGTTAATTTGTAGTGTAATTTTCCCCAAGTAAGCAAGTATGATTTAACACTATAGCACTGAGGATAAAGTAATTTTACACTGCATTAAAAAGTGTTAATTTACCTAAAATCGTGTACTTCTACACTTCCTGGCTAAAATCCCACTTTTGTTTAGTGTAAATTAACACCACTTTGGGAAAGTTCTAATTTTAAAAAGGTACTTTTACTCTTTTAGTGCAAACTTCTAGTGTAAATTAACACTATTATTTGAGTAAAACCTATTGGTGGTAGTGAATAAAACGAAAAGGTAAATAAAGAGAAACATTTATTTGGAACAAAAATCTATGACAATTATGAAAATCGGTGCCTTTTAAAATATAATTTTATATTTGAGTCGTATGGCTGGCTTAAGCAAAATGGTTCCTTAAAACGTTAAAGTTTTAGATAAATGCAATGTTTTACTGGCTGTCAACTTGTAAGCAATGAATTATCTTGAGAATTCATCAGTAATCCATTTTTCTGTTATAAAAAATGGGTGATCCCATTGGTAGAGAGGCGTCAGGCGGCTGTATGTCGGGGATTTACCACACGTGTACAAATTTTCCATAATATTAATAAAAATGTAGGTATACCTATATATAGGTTAATATAACAACCATAACGCTATTTTGCCACTATTTGTGTAATTTAACTTTAATTGTGATACAATGTGCACTAGTAGTGTACATTTTGTCACTATTTAACATATTAAGGGGTAATAAACACTCGCATTAAGTTTTTCTACCCTTTTGATTTATTTTAATAATAAATAGTGTAAATGTACCAATGAATAATGTTCATATTCTTTAAATGTGTTTAATAAAGTTAATAAGCACTAAATGCTACCTAGTGTATTTTGTAGTGTAACTTTTACACTTACAAATCAACTCTATATTTTTACCCCTACACTAACAAATTTACACGGGCAAAATTTTTTACTGTGTAAAATGCTTAAAACAAATGCGATATAAAGAAAAATAAATAACTCTCGCGTGCAGAAAATATTTGAAACTATTAAAAGTCGCGTACGGAGAAGTATTTTGCATAAACCCGATCCGTTTGATAAATGGCGGATACCGGTTCGCATCGTCGAAGATAAATCATTTAAGTCCGCAGAATTCTGAAATTGAAAATTCCAAATTGAAATATTGCATCGCAGTGCTTTACCGTAACACACAGCTACGTACAAACGTAACCTACGTAACATCGAGATGATAAAGGCCTTTGTAAAGTTCGAACATTCATGTATGAAGGTTCAAACTCCACAAAGGAATTATAGTTCAACATTTGGAGAAATATATATTTTTTTTATAATAATTTATTGATGACCTCAAAACAGTTTACAAAACTGGCACCGAGGCCTAAAAAATTAACAAGATATTATTAACATAAATAAAGTTATTCCAAAATAAATAAACAAAATAAGTAAACAAATATTTTTTTCAGTCCCTAACACTTGATCAGCTATCTTCTGTTTTCTATTAAATAGTTCTTAATGTTAAAACAGTCTTTTTGGACTTCCTTGAAATATTTCTTGTGGGATTTTATTATATTCTTATATACTTCTGTAAATTGGTGAGTCCTGTCCTTTTTTGGTTCTGGCGTATGTTGTTCTCAATTCATGTTTTGTTCTTGTATTGTATGGGTAAATTTGTCTATTTTCATGCATATAATTCTTGAAAGTACCTCGTAATAAGGGTTGTAAGATTGTTGCTAATGACAGTGGGTTAATTATGTCTAAATAAATTTCATATTCATATGTGAATAAATTTAAATCGAGACCATCATTGAAAAATAATCGTAATTTCCGCATAGGGTTCGTTGTGTTTCTCTGATTGAAGTCTTTTTTCTCGCAATCATTTTCCGATGTATACCTACTGTAGTGCCAAGGCCGAGACGCAAAGGTTAACTGCCAACTTGCCAGTTAACCCATTTTTTTCCCTCTGACAAAAACAATAGCGTCTCTTTGTTAATGGCGCGTTTCACAAGTCGTTAACATTCGCACGGTGGTTTGAAATGCTACTTTTCTGGTCAAAACTAATTTGTGACCTTAATAATTCACCTAAAGCCTTTTTATTCAGAAATAAATGCTCTACAAAAAAGTATTTTATGTTTTTTCCGTAAACCTATCCATTCAAAGTTTGCAAAGTTTCGAACATTTTTTTTCAAAATTTTATAAATCGCAGAATAGTTAGAATTTTGAAATGAGTAGTGCATATTTTTGTTGAAAATGAATTGATCTACAAAAAAGTTTTCTTTTGTTTTGTTTAATACAAAGTATATCCCGCATGGTCTAGTGGTTAGGATACCAAGCTCTTAATATGGCAAGGGTTTTTTAATACTTTTCCCCTAAATAATTCATTGGTATAAATGTTGTAATGTAATTATTTATATGACAAATAAATGTTTTAAATGTCTCATCCAAGAGGCTTGGATACCGGAATATTTTTAAAAACTGAATATTTTGAAATTTCAGAACAAAATGTGAAATAGTTAAAAGCCTATTTTAATTAATAAGAAAGAACACAAATTTATAAAAATATTTAAAAAATCGAAGTAAAATTAAATTTTTTTTACAGTAACTAGTTATTAAAAAAAGGTAAAGTATAAGCTGAACTTTAGTTGCGATTATGTTTAAAACGCTTACATTTATCAAAAAAAAACTAAAGAAACCTTTTTTATAGAACAGTTAATTTTCAATTAAGTTCAAACTACTTATTTTAAAATACCAACTATTCTGGGAGTGAGAACATTTTGAAAAAAAAATATATTTTTTTCAAAATCTATAAAATTTTGTTCCAAGATATCTTCTGAATGTCTTGGTTTACGAAAAAATTATAGGATACCTTTTTTATAGAGCATTCGATTCCCGATCAAAATGTTTAGTGGGCTTAACTTTATATTTATTTGTTAGTGAGATACAAAATGTTTTTCAACGGACTAATGTTATAACATTGTATACAATGGAAAATTGTAATGATCTTACTCTTAATGTTCATGACAAAATTTATTATTAAATGATTTTTTCTACTCCCATGTGAAAATTATTTTATTATCTCAATACAAAAATACAAAAGTATTAAATAGTTTCTCAACGCCAATATTTGAAAAGTTTATATGAACATTGTACTGACCTTTTAATTTGGCCGGCAGTAAACTATAACTTAAAAAATAAGTATAATTATTAAAATAATTTTACAAAACATATAATATCGTATTACATGCATCTTTAATTTTGACCATATGTTTTTTTTTATATTTTTGTTATGTTAGGAAGTAACAGCGCCTTAAAGGCAGGGAAAATTCTGTTCAAATAAAAAATATGAATTTTTCCGCATTGCTTTACTTTAAACAGCTGTATCTTTTTTAAATAAAATGTTTTTTAACTTTTTCTTTGGGAATCTTTCGAATTACGGGTTTTTCTTTGCATTGGTGTATTATTTTTTTGATCAGATAAAGTTGACTTTTTGGACTTTTGCCCACCGTGCCGTGCAACAACGTCGAGCACTCGCGATTCGAAAGGAAACAAATAAATGTCATTACGGTCGAACAATATCTTTGAGTAACTGTTTAGACTGCGTCCGGATGATTTATCGGCGTAAAAGTCCGGCGATATTTGCATGCCACGGTCCATAAATCAAAGGCAGAGCGCGGAGTGGTTAATTTTAGAGCGCTTCTTGTAGGCCTCGAAAAGAACAATCGATTTTTCGTTGTAACATTACGTAATTGGTCGGTGTGTATGGGCGAGCCGAACGTGCCAATATTGCAAACAAATGTCATTTTAATGCCAAGTTTTTGTTCTGCACACCAAGTTTACGAATGCATATACGTATATTTGTAATTCCACTTTGATTTTTATTATATTGTTTCATATTCGTGGTCTCTTAGAATGGGGAACGAAAAATAAATCGATATGAAATTTCTATAATATTTTGAACAAACTACCACTTTTGGTTTAACCGGAAGTGACATCGACTTTGTTATTTCAAATAGAAATTTTTAAATTTTGAATAAAATTACTATACCATGTCCTAAAGTGAATGTTTTTTTTTTAATTTGAGAAATGTGCATCAATCAAAAGTAGCCTATATGTTTTTTGATATTAGGTTTGCGAATATGGGGGTGACATTTTTGAAATCTTAAAAAATGTTTTAAAAGATTCCTTGTCAATTCTTTAACATTTTTTAACAAATTACCTGATGAAGCCAGGGCAAATTAAACTAACATGAAAAGTTTATAGTCTTTTTATTTTAAATGTAACAGGTTGTTGTAAAAAATTTGTTGACTTAGTTTTTTGTAAACAAAATTACTGATAAAAAATAGCAGTCAGTGACTAATAAAAAAATAAAAAAGCCAAACATTTTTAAAATTTAAAAGTAACACAAACAGTATTTGATAATTTTCAAAAAAGATTAAATTTCCCAACACTTTCAAAATTAAAAAATTTTCAAATTCTTGAAAATTTAAAATTTTCCATAATTCCAAATTTTACAATTTTTTATAGATTTAAAAATATTTTACAATTTTTAAAATAAACTAATTTTTGAAATTATATATTATAAAAAAATAGACAAGCCAAACATTTTTAATTTAAATTTAATTTAAAAGCAACACAAACAGTATTTAATAATTTTCAAAAAAAAAAAATACCAACATTTTCAAAATTACGAAAATTTTCAAATTCTTGAAAATTAAAAAATTTCCATAATTCTAAATTTTACAATTTATTATAGATTTTAAAATTTTTCACAATTTTTAAAATAAACTAATTTTGAAATTAAATATTATAAAAAAATAGATAAGCCAAACATTTTAAAAATTTAAAAGTAACACAAACAGTATTTGATAATTTAAAAAAAAATTAAATTTCCCAACATTTTCAAAATGACAAAAATTTTCAAATTCTTGAAAATTAAATTTTCCATAATTCCAATTTTTTATAGATTTTAAAATTATTCACAATTTTTAAAATAGACTAATTTTTGAAATTATATATTATAAAAAAATAGACAAGTCAAACATTTTTAAAATTTAAAAGTAACACAAACAGTATTTGATAATTTAAAAAAAAAAAAAATTTCCCAACATTTTCAAAATTAAAAAATTTTCAAATTCTTGAAAGTTTAAAATTTTCCATAATTCCAAATTTTACAAAGTTTTATAGATTTTAAAATTTTTCACAATTTTTAAAATAAACTAATTTTTGAAATTATTTATTATAAAAAAATAGACAAGCCAAACATTTTTAATTTAAATTTAATTTAAAAGCAACACAAACAGTATTTGATAATTTTCAAAAAAAACTAAATTTTCCAACATTTTCAAAATTACGAAAATTTTCAAATTCTTGAAAATTTAAAATTTTCCATAACTTTCCTTAATTCCAATTTTAATAGATTTTAAAATTTTTCACAATTTTTAAAATAAACTAATTTTTGAAATTATATATTATAAAAAAATAGACAAGCCAAACATTTTTAAAATTGAAAAGTAACACAAGCAGTATTTGATAATTTTCAAAAAAAAATTAAATTTCCCAACATTTTCAAAATTACGAAAATTTTCAAAATTTTCCATAATTCCAAAATTTACAAATTTGTATGGATTTTAAAATATTTCACAATTTTTAAAATAAACTAATTTTTGAAATTTACAAATTTTCCAAAATATAGAATACTTTGAATTTTAGTATTTTTTCAAAATTATCAAAATTTTGTAATCCTTTTTAATAATTAAATTTCTACCCAGTTTGGGGGGCGCTTGTTTTTTGTTGGAAATGATGAATTAAAAAAACTGATAAATATGAAATAAAATTACCATATCGTTCCAAGTCAATTTTAACACATTTAAGACAAATTTCAAGGAATTTTATTGTTAAAATGACACGTTAAAAAAACTGTAAAATATTTTAGTATTTCTTTTAGCACTTTACTTAAAAACGTTCGTCGGTTTTTTTAGGCAATTTGTTAAAGAGATTTGCACCCAAAAAAACACCACACCACATTAAACAAAATCATTTACGGCAGCTTTTTGCGCCTTAACATTGTTCATTATTTCTAAATTAATCCATTAAATTATTTCCCTCGCTATAATATGCCAACTCATATCTTTAATTAAATTTCTGCCTAAACAAGTTTTAAAGCCGTGCACGTAACGTAAGGACTTTAATATCAATAAAAAACAATTACATTTAATTTACCATTGTAATAATACAAATTTGTTTTGTATAAACGCCTAAAAACAATCTTAGAGTAATGCCTAGAGTAAATTATTATTCGATTTGGTATGGGTAATGTGGTTTTAATGATGCGACTGTTTTAAAACGTATACAGGTACGAAGAAAAATAATAAAAACTTCTGATGATTCGTGGGACGTAGAAAACTGTAAAATTAAAGAAATAAAACGAAGAAAAATAATAAAAACTTCTAATGATTCGTAGGATGTAGAAAACTGTAAAATTAAAGAAATAAACCTTTCACCTTTGATTTGTTTTTAAGAACTTAAATGAGATATCTCAATAGATCAGTAGAAAAATGCAATAGTCCAGAAATCAGAATAAACCTTGTTTTATCAATATGGTAGTAGCGCCACCATGTGATAAAAAAACATTTTTATCAGTGTAGGTAACCAGAATTCAGCTTTCAATAAGCAGCTGTCTACTTTTTTCGCTTTTCGTAGAAATTTATTTCATTTGGATTTATTTTTTCTGACTTTTTAGCGAAATTGGTCTGTTTTGTTCAGTTTTTTATTTTAAAATTGACAGAATTTTAAATTTTTTTTCATTTTAAGAGCTTAATTTGCCTTCTTTCTCATTATCAAATTTATAATGTCTTATCGTTTCATCTATTATTTTTATTTTTTTATCAAGGATTACATTAATTGTTTATTGTTTAAATACATAAATTATTTAATTAATATATAAGGTTTTTTCGTGTTTAAAATCTAGCACGAATTTTTTTACCCTGAAAAAAGATCAATTAAAAAAAATTATAGCAGATTAGCAGGTTTTATTTATATCTAGTGTTTTATTTAAACTATATATGTACAAATATTTAAATGTTAACCAAAATAAATTTAATACTTTTTGAAAAGATACCGCTCGTACGAAATTATTTAATACGGGCCTGGCAGAATACATATCTTCTCTTATACATTCCCTTGCTCCGCTTCCCCGATTTTTGGCACGCTGGTTTCATGTAAGCGATACTGAACAGGGCAAGTCTATTTTGTCTGTGATATTAACCTTCCCACAGTTGATTCAAATAAATACGAGTCAACCAAATTAATATAGTTAAATTAACCATTCCTTTTTTTCTGCAAAATTTTTAAAACGATTTTTTTTGTTTCAGGAGGTCTAAGCACTACGGCCATAGTAAAAATCCAGGTAACCGACGTGAACGACAACCGTCCGGCTTTTTACCCTCGGGAGTACAACGTTTCTCTGCGCGAAGGCGGCGGTCCTTCTTCCGCCACCGTCCCCGTGGTGGTGGTGGCGGCCACAGATCCGGACTCGGGGAAATTCGGCGCGGTCGCCTACAAAATCGCCGCCGGCAACGAAGCGGGACTCTTCAGGATCGACAGGAACACGGGAGAAATCTTCGTGTCGAGACCTAGCTTGCTGTCGACCAGAAGCCAGCCGTATCACAAGTTGAACATCAGTGCCAGTGACGGCGGTAACTTGAGGTCCACCAACGACGCGGAAGTTTTCATAAGTGTCATCGATTCCGCGCAGAGACCGCCCATTTTCGAACATCCCAGGTATACTTTTAGTGTCAGTGAGAGTGTCAAGGAAGATACAGTCATTGGGAACGTCAAAGCTACTGTCAATGACAATGGTAAGTTTTGTTCCTTTTTATTTCTCTTTATTTTCTGAGAACGTTTTGGATGACTTCCGCACTAATAAAGCAACATTCTTCAAGAATTTGATTTTTCAAGTCTTTTAAATTTTGTGGTCTGTTGGAAATTAAAAGTACGTCTTGTTGAAACCAAATGGTATCACTTGGTAGATCGGGATCTCCATTCTCATTGGGAAACATCAAACATGTGGGAAAAAGATAGTTTTGCAAAAATTCCAAATACGTTTGTCCTGTCATTTTCTCGTCAAAGAAGAGACCCATGATCCGATTTTCCACCATTCCTGGTATTGGGAATTTGCCTCTACTACCTACCCTATGAAGATTTTCTCTGCTCCAGTAGATACCTACAATTTTAAAGGGTAGCATTCAAACAGAATTTAACATAGATTCACAAAATACTGTAGTCTACGGTCCGAATCATCTTCCTTAGGTTCCTGTACTAGTCTAATTTTGTATGGATGGTACTTTTCTTTCTTCAAAAAACCTAGCTGACTTGACTTTTAGCTGCGACCAGGCTAAAAGCAATTTGAGGATCTTCCAACGTAACAAAATGTCAATTTTAGTGTTTTCACTAATAATCGGACGGTCAGGTTTCAGAATATCTTTGACATGTCCAGTCTCTCTGAACTTCCGTTCAATTTTACTATCACTAAAGTTCGAATCTCCGGTCACTGTAAGATGTAACTGCTTTTAAGCTTCCTTAAGGACATTTTTAGGATGTTTTAGAGTTTTTTTCTAAAACCGTCATTGTGCAAACATTTCTTAAAATGTATGGAGTTATTCGGCGAGATAATACAAAATGGTAGTCGACTTTTTGTCGTTGTCTCGGCCATATAATGTACGGCCTAAGGTGTGTTATTTTTAAGCAACTTTTTTTTTCAACTAAAAAACAGGCTAAAAACTTTCAGGAAGGTGAAAAAAGAAACCTCTAAAAATTTGAGCTCTTAATATTAACATTAAGTGGTGCCTGTTCCTAACTTTCCATTTTCCATTTAAATAACATGGAAAACATTTTTTTCTTTTTTCTAATTTTTGTAGCTTGACATTTGAGCATTTTAAAAACGAACTGAAAAATTATTTTGGTAGGAAATTGAACGCTCTACAAAAAAGTTTAAATATATTTTTTCATAGAGTGAGCCGTTCTGAAGGTATTCAAACTTAAAGTTGCCTTTAACATTTCGAATCGCGGCACGTTAGCGTGCCAATGACAATGTGTAATCCGAACGGTAATATACCGACTGAGCCGATATAATCTTTTATCAGAGTTATCGACTTTAAAATTATAAAAAATAGAGAAAAATTAAAAATTCAATACAATAACAAATTCATTGTTTTATTTAATCTATTATAATTATTGTACAAATTAATTGAACACAAATAACTTTTTTTGATAGTAAATAAAATAAAATGGAAAAAAATTGAGATGTAAGTGTTATTTTCTTTCTAAACGAAAATAATTATTTTTTCTTAAAATAATTTTTAAGACATAAAAAAAGTATTAGTTTAATAAAATAAAAGTGCTAATTTCATACATTTGCAAGTTTGAATACCTTCAAAACGGCTTACTCTATGAAAAAATAAATTAGAAATTTTTTGTAGAGCGTTCAATTTCCTACCAAAGTAATTTTCAGTTCGTTTTTACAATGCTTAAATGTCAAGATACAAAAATAAGAAAAAAGAATTATTTTTTGTCCATGTTATTTAAATGGAAAATGGAAAGTTAGGAACAGGCACCACTTAATGTTATTATTAAGAGCTCAATTTTTAGACGCTTCTTTTTTACCTTCCTGAAAGTTTTTAGCCTGTTTTTTAGATGAAAAAAAAAAGTTTCTCAAAAATGACACACCCTAGTACGGCCCTTGTTTCTTGATGTAATGGTTCAAAGAGGATAGGTATTTCATGTAGCATATGATAATATCGCGACTTCTTAACAACAAACTCCACCACGGTCGGGATGATATTCTCGCCGTTTTAATAAATCCTGTTGGAGAAATGAAAACCCGCAATTAAACGCTTCGATGATGCTCCTAACTCAAGTCTTCAGTATCAACAACTAGAAATACAAATCTATTAAAAAAAATTTACATTGTTGTGAGTTCCAACAATAGTTATTTGTACAGTTTTTACAAGTTTAATTCTTGAAAAACATTAAAAGCCTTCATAAAAGGATCAAGGTCATTAACATAACGAACTAAAAGCCTTTTGGTACGATCTTTTACTGCGGTTTTATAGTTTTTGGTCGTATAAATTGCAATTTAAACTAAAACGAAATATAAACGCAATTATTGTTTTTATATCTCGTGAAGAAAACCCTCGGGACAAAGTCTGCAATCAATGCCACATTGTAAATACTGTTTCTGTTGAGGATAGTCCTACACAAACACCTGTAATTATTATATTTAATAAAAGAAATTTAAATGGTAACCTTGCGTACTAATACATTTGTATACTCATTCTTAATCATACTTTTACTTTGAGGTTATTTATTTTACGTCATACTTGTCAGAACAAATACATGAAGTCCCTGTCAGAAATTGCATTTTTTAAGCATTCTCCAAACACAACATACATATCACAATACTCAGTGAGTACTACTCATATATGCGCTTCTGGGACACCCTGTATACCGTATTTTTGGTGTAAACCACGGACGCATTAAAAAATAGTCAATACAGTTTTGCATTTGTTTGAGAAATACTTATCATACTTGAAGTAGTACAGTTGTCTGAAATGAGTGTGTAATAATAAATAACTGGCATAATCTGCAAAATCCTGTCGCGACACTTAAATGGAAATGCTGGCGATTTTTTCCTTAGTTGTTCGATTAATTTAACAGTACATATCTGTATTTCTTATAGGTGAAAAAATAATCGTTAACATAAATAACATGAAATTACGTTAAATACGTACGCGCACAAGAGATACGGACTTATTAAAATAAGAAAATACTTCCATCTGTCACATAAATATGACAATTTGAAATTTTAATTATGACATATAACAGTACACGGCTATGGAAGTCATAGAAGAGACCGAGAGACCGCGTATTTTATTTTATAGATTACTGACCAATTAGCTGTGAAAATATTAAGTCGTTGTTTTGCTAGACAAAAATGAAAAACATTTCCGGCAAAAACTTCATCAAGTGTGCCATGTCACATGATAACGTCAAAGCTATATTTATTTTAACTTCCAATAAAGTATGAGAGATAGAGGGTAGACATTCGAAGAAAAAATCTAGCCATCCTAGTTCCATTTTATTATTGTCTTTTGAGGTTAAAAACGAAACACAAACATAACCTATTTCGTTGACAATTCAAAACTTTTTGACTAGGTATCCTGTAGAATATGCAGTTTGTTTTTTTATTCGGAATTTGACACATTTTATTATGTTGGTACTATATGTCAATATACTTTGGTATTTTTAATATTTAAAATTGGTAATCCTGTTTTGTACTCGACATTAGTCATTTAATTGTTAGAATTATAGTAAACAATGCCAAAGATAACAGAAAAATCTAAACAAAACATTATTTTTATGAAATAATTAATTTTTGCTTCGTTTGGGGTCCCTAGAATTTGCCAACTAAACCCCCAAATTCCAATTAAAAAAAAAACTGTAAGACAGTTTTCCAAGGCATATTTGATACAAACACATAAAATATTATATTATTATACGAGAGATAATGCGCATAATCTCGAGTGTAATACTATACTTTATCTACTCCAATAAGTAGAAAATTAAATAAATAAAATCTGACATGTGTCAAATGGTTAACCTCACTTTTATCCTGCCAAACAACACCAAATACAGAAAAAATAATCAAAATAATTTTTCTTTTTGTAATCAAATAAATTAACTATGTCATAAATAATTCTAAACATTAGATTAAATTGGAAGGGACACATGTAATTTGTAAAACTAATAGATTTTTTCGTGGCTAAAGGCGGTTAAAAATTTCACTTTTCTTTAATTAATATTTAACATATGTAGGTATCTGAAAAGCGTTGAGAAATTTGCTATAATTAATCTTTTTAGTTAAACATGGTGTTTACATTTGAAATGTTAAAAGTTATTAATATTATATTAGGATTAATTTTTAATGAAAGTTGTCGTAAGCTATTCCATTAACTATTTGAGAGTAGATGATAATATAAATTATATTATAATAATTTTTAAAAGCATCTCTCTAAAAATGAATTAGTCAAAAATGACTAATTGTCATAGCGAAAAAGCAGCTACTAATAATTCTCGTCAATAGCAATTTGCATCCTGAAGATTTAGCAGTTAATTTCCATGTAGGATATTGTCCCATGAATTCGAAAATTTCGTCAAGAATTAGAAAAGTAGAACTGTTTTTGAAATCTAGTCAATTTTCCATATATGGAAAATTGACTATATTTCAAAAACAGTATGAAATTAACTATATTTCAAAAACTTACATATAATTGGCTGTTAAATGTTGGAGATACAATGGTATCCCATGGTTAACCATGGTATGTGTGAAAAAGCAGCCACTATACTAACTAGTCATTTTTGATTAATTCATTTTTAGAGAGATAAAATAGGTTTTCACAATTATTTGACTTATTTCGAGAAAGCTGGTCTACCGAAAGTATTAGATTAGTTGTCTCGTTAATGAAGTTAATTTCAAAAGTATTTAAGTACCAATGTTACGAAACCTAACGGGTCAAAGAAGCTCTTGGAATTTATTATAAACATGCCCACTCCAATTATTTTAGATTTCCGATTAACACATTAAATTTGAGCTTTTAAGTAGCGTATATTAAACAACATTTTCACCTTGAACCGATCAAGCGATGATCAATAAAGATACGATGGGTCGTAAAAATAAGATAAATCTTGTTTATGTTGGCAAATTAGATACCTTAGAGCAGGTACGATAGACAATAAAAATGAAAACGAAATAATTATGCGCTAGTTGCCTCAGTTGCACTCGTTTTTTTTTTTTTTAATTTTCAACAATGCCGTCCGAAAGTATGGCCGGAATTCATTAGTTTTGCGAAAATGTCCGATACTCCAAATCCTACCAAACGGGTCAAACGAAAGGCGTAACGAGATTTCAACCGATCGCACAGTGCAGTAGTCTACATTTTATAAATATGTTACTTCAACATACCGCCGGTCATTTGGACCTCATCAGTGCCGGGTAGCCATGTGAAAATTGGTAAACTCATTGTTTCGACAGAACCCTTTATAATAAATTGTTATTAACTTCTCATTTAGTATTTTTTTCCCCCAAAAGTCTCACTGTAGCTCGGTGCGGCGGCCATCAGCCGGTCCCCCCTTTGCATCGGGGAACCGAGGGGCGGAAATTTGGAGACAAGCACAGAGTCAATTTAATACGCCGACGCACAATGATTTAAAACGGACAAAAAGTTTTGAATTTGATTTAGGTACTTTGTAAACAAAATTCTGATGCGTTTAAAAATTCGAAAAATGCTTCTTCTGAAGTGTCCCATCAATATTAGAAAAATCTTTAAATAAAATATATGTTGAAAATACGTTTAACTCATTTCATATGTCTAGGGGGTCAACCGATCTTTTTAAGCTAAGAGAAAATTTGATTTGATTTTTTTACGTATTTTTGAATCTTTTTTTTGTTTTGCCTTTAACAGATATTTATGTATCAGCAGTAAAGTCGTATTTTATATCACGAATGTGGAAATTATTTGCCGAGGCATATAACAAAGTGAGTGATAACAAATGACTTTAATGCCGAGGTGCATATTAAATTTTATCCGAAATCACATTTAATAATACTAATAATTAATATATATAATAATCAAATAAATAAATCAATCAAATGTCATTTAAATGTAGGAACGTATACTGTTTGTTGCGACGGTTATGACGGTTATATTTGCCGGCCGCGGCGATTTTTAATCTAATTAATAAAATTAACTTATTATTTTTATTAAACAACATTTTATACATAAATATATTTAAATTTTACTAAAACTTGTCTTAGCTTAAGTAAAACTAATCTTATTAGCTAATCTGGCCCTATTAAAAACATAACCTTTAACTTAAATTTAACTGAAGGGAGATTAATCTAAACCTAACTTAAACCCATAAATTGAAGACTAAGATTAACTAAATTTAACTGAAGGGAGATTAATCTAAACCTAACTTAAACCCATAAATTGAAGACTAAGATTAACTAAGACTAAGTCTAAGAGTATCTTTAATATGCAAACTATTGTTTAATCTTACCAAATTTTAATTAAGTTTTGATTAGTTTTAATAAAATTTATTTACATAGTACAAACAAAAATTATTATCATCGATATTTTTTACTTGAATTTACTTTTACTCCTCGCCCCTGATAAATTAACTTTTTTTTATAAAAAAAATACTTTTTTTTAAATGAGGTATTATTATGATTTAGTACAATTTTGGGCTTAAAATGATCGGTTGACCTCCTAGAAACATAAAGTGAAAAAAAATATCGAGCTCTTTTGGGTTAAACGTATTTTCAACGTACCGCGTGTTGTGTTATATTTGCGATCCCAGTGCGTCAGTAGGATTTATAGAAATAAGCAGTTTGGCTTCGAGCTATTCCTTCTTGAGATTTTAGCCTTTTAAGGTGTCCACATGCTTCGAAAAATAACTGAAACACGACAATATTTTGCTTTAATTCAGGAATTCGACAGTGTTCTTCAGACAAAGTTGATTATTTTCATGATAAACCAGAGCATTACAAAGTAAAGTCAACATGTGTCCAAAACCTCAATTGATTGAAGCTTCATTATCTTTATCGACTTAATATTGTGTAACATTCTGAATTTTACTTACTCTGGCAATTATACCGTCTTTAAATCGGTTTAATGTTCAAATATATCTAAACAGGTGATGGTAATAAGCTGATCCGCGCGGTTCTCGGAATACAATGGACATTTCTCTTCTTTCAGTGAAGTTGCAGACGGACGCGGGACAGTGCATAATTGCCCTCTTTTTCTCGTCTTCTTCCTCCCTTTTTTTTTTCAAGTCCCTTGCTGCGTTGTGTTCGCTGGCTCGTTTGCCTAAATGCTAATAAGCACCCATACAATTCCGCACAAACGGAATCCAAGACCCCGGCTATTTATGGTCCAAACCTATTCAATTAAGTTATGCGCTTTTGTCCCGGCCTTTTGTTCTTCTCTTTTTTACGACTTTACACTTGCTAATACCTCTATACTTTCTATACTTTCTCACTAGTCTTTTTACGAACCATTGCAAACTAAATTGAAGTCTTAAAATTTAAGACGTCCACGGTACTTTCTTCAGTTGACACAGCCATAATTTAAAGAAAACATGTTGGCTTCTTTTAAGGCTAACTTTACACTATTTGAAGAGATCAGAACAATAATTAGTCTGAGGCAATTTTTGGGACGAATAGAATGCAATTTGTCACAGTTAAATCACGCCTTCTTCTTTAAAATAATCTGTAACCTATGAAATGAACAAAATGCTTAAAAAATTGTATATTACCTTTACAAAACTATATTTCATTGTATTATTTCAGGCGATAGAAGAAACGTCAGGTACTCAATCTACTCCGGTGATCCGGATGGTTTCTTCAAGATCGATTCCAACTCCGGCGTCATTCGAACATCATCGAAATTGGACCACGAAACCAAAGCTTCAGTTCTGCTCAACATCCAAGCAACAAGTGGGATACCGCCTGTTCACGGACACACGCAGGTAAAAAAATAAATGTTAATGGCAATGGTCGTGATATACTTAACATAATCGATGTGTTTTAGGTCAACATTGAAATCGAAGATATCAACGATAACGCACCGGAGTTCGAATCGGGCACCGTGCGTATATCGGTGCCAGAAAACGTGGACATAAACGTGCCTTTATACGCCGCCCATGCGAAAGATAAGGACTCAGGCTCTAACGGCATAGTCCGTTACAGAATAGCAAATAATAACGAGAAGTTATTCGAGATCGACCCCAAATTGGGACATCTGTCTCTGCTGAGGAATCTCGATTACGAGACCAAGCAGCGGCACAGTCTCGTCATTACTGCCACCGATATGGGACATCCCGCTCTGTCATCCAACTTGACCGTCATTGTGGAGGTGCAAGATGTAAACGACAACCCTCCCGTGTTTGAAAGGAGCGAGTACAGTTTGCAGGTCTCCGAATCTTTGGCTGTGAATTCGCAGGTAAGTCACCAATAAACAATCTTGACTCACGTTGTATATCCACTGCATCTTTCTGTTTTTTTCTTTAAACCAACAATCAGGTTTAGCACATAATCCCCATGTAGTGTTTGTCTGACCCAGTGATTAAAAGAAACAATATCCAATGATTTATGTAATGACGCGTCACAGCTTGTCGTGAGCGGGGAAATGATGGGGATTATTGTCGTCTTTGCCGAAAAAATCTCATGATAAATGGAGAAAATCTCCTACCCAAGGACTTTTAAAGCCACTGACAAACAGGTGGATTAAAAACTTCGCCAGATACTTTTTGTAGAATAAAACATTTTGATAATGCATATCATGATATAAAAAACTCCAAAAACAGTAACTTAATGGTAAAATCTCATTATGTATTTTAATTGATGCCGAGCATTTTAATACCCATTTCTTCTAGCACTTTAATTATAATTTATTGGATCTGGCATTTGATTACCATAATCAAGGCTTTTAATTAGTGCAATTATTAATATTTAATCCAACGAAATGAAAATGATATGTTGCCGTGCATTTCCTTAATAACAGTATTTATTTGTTTATTTTTCTTTCAGATCTTGCAACTAACAGCTATAGATTCAGATACTGGGAATAACGCCAGAATCACTTATCGTCTAATGCCTTCCAACAATTCGGATGATTCTGATGTCAAAGACATCTTCGGTATATTCCCCAACAGTGGCTGGCTATACTTGAAGGAAACTTTGGACCGCGAGAAAAAGGATAAGTACATCCTTACGGTGGCGGCCACGGACAACGGAACTCCTTCGGAAACGGCCGTGACGAAAGTTTACGTTGACATCCTGGACGCAAACGATAACGACCCTACGTTCGTCAGCGAATCGTACGAGTTCAAAGTGGAGGAAAACTTACGACGGGGTACAGTCGTGGGAAAAATTAAAGCCACCGATGCAGATGCTGGAGTCAACGCGGTTATAAGATACAGTCTTATACCTAGCAATAGCAGTTTCCAGATAAATGCAGCTACCGGTAAGTCCATATTTAACTCATAGATGTAGCTAGTAAATTTTAGCTTACGTCTTACGTCCATTTCAAGCACATTGATTGGTTGACGTAAGCCGTAGAGGATACATTCTGCGACAATTGTAGACCGGGCTTAAACCTTTTGATATGATGTAGATAATCTAAAAAAGCATTGTTAAGTAAAAATCAATTTTTAAAAATATTCAATATCATTCATAAATTTGATTTTGACATTCAAAGTTTTGTTATAACATTCTACAACAAGTTTTTAATAATCTAAAATGTATTGTTGTCATTCTCAAATTTGTTCTTGACATTCTAAAAGAAGCTTGTTGACATTTAAATTTTTGTTTTAACATTTTAAAATGCGTTTTTGACGTTCTTGTGGTTTTGACATTCTACGATAACATTGTTTTTGACATTCCAAAAAAAGCGTTGGCTATAAAAAAGGAGCTGTCACATGTTTTTGGTTTTAACAATTTAAGAAATATAAAATTATTTTTAAACATTCTAATATTTTTTTAACATTCTAAAATAAGCTTTTTCTATAAAAAAGGCGATGTTGTCATTCCTTTGGTTTTGACATCCTACAATAAGTTTTAACATTCTAAAATTTGTAATTTTTAGGTTTTAACATTGCAATAAATCTGAAATTTATTTTTAACATTCTAAAAATTTTGACATTATAAAAAATGCGTGGGCTATAAAAAAGAGGTTGTCACATGTTTTTGGTTTTGACAATTTTAGAAATGTAAAATTATTTTTTAACATTCTAAAATAAGCTTTTTCTATAAAAAAGGAGACAAGTTTTAAACGTTGGCTATTGAAAAAGGGTTGTCGATATTCTTTTGGATTTGAAAATATTTTTGTTAACGTTCTAAAATAATATTATATGGTGGACATCTTACGATAAGTTTTTAACATTCTAAAATATTTTTTTAAATTCTAAAATAAGCTTTTTCTATAAAAAAAGGAGTTGTTGACATTTCTATGGTTTGGACGTCTTACGATAATGTTTTTAACATTCTAAAAATTGACTTTGACATTCTAAAAAAATGCCTTGGCTATAAAAAAGAAACTGTCGATATGTTTTTGGTTTTGACATTCTAAAATAAGCCTTTTCTATAAAAAAAGAGATGTTGACATTCCTACGGTTTAGACATCCTAAAACTTGTCTCAACATTCTTAAATTGTGGACATATTACGATAAGATTTTGACATTCCAAAAAATGCGTTGGCTATTAAAAAAGGAGCTGTTACATGTTTTTGGTTTTGACAATTTAAGAAATTGAAAATTATTTTTTAACATTTTAAAATTTGTTTGACATTCTACAATAAGCTTTTTCTATAAAAAGGAGATGTTTACATTCCTTTGGTTTTGACATCCTAAGATAAGTTTTAACATTCTAACATTTGTTTTTAACATTCTTAAAAAAGCGTTTGCTATAAAAAAAGAGTTGTCGACATTCTGTTGATTTTGACATTCTAAGAAATCCAAAATTTATTTTTAACATTCTAAAATATTTTTTTAACGTTTTAAAATAAGCATTTTCGTTAACAATGGAGTGGTTGACATTTATAGGTTTTTGACATCTCACGATCCTAAGACAAGTTGTCAACATTCTAAAATTTTGGACATATTACGATAAGATTTTAACATTCTAAAAATTGATTTTGACAATCTAAAAAAATGCGTTGACTATAAAAGAGGAGCTGTTACATGTTTTTGGTTTTGACGAAGAAATCTAAAATAATTGTTTAACATTCTAAAATAAGCTTTTTCTATAAAAAAGGAGATGTTGACATTCCTATGGTTTTGAAATCCTACGATAAGTTTTCAATATTCAAAAATGGTTTTTACATTCTAAAAAAAGCGTTGGCTATAAAAAAAGGGTTGATATTCTTTTGGTTTTGAAATTCCTAGAAATCTAAAAATATATTTTTAACATTCTAAAATATTTTTTAACATTCTTTTGGTTTTGATATATCCAACGATAACTTTTTAACATTCTAAACATTGTTTTTGACATTCTAAGAAATCTTAAATTTATTTTTACCATTCTAACATTTTAAAATAAGCTTTTTCTATAAAAAGGAGTCGTTGACATTCCTATGGTTTTGACATCCCTAGAATAAGTTTTACTTTAACTGTTTTTTACATTCTTGAATATAAAAAAGTTGTTTATTCATGATATGGTTTGTGCATAGAAACTTGTATTTATGTACTAATTTAAATTTACCTAATTGAAACTGTTGACTTAGAACAAAGTGCTTTATATTTATCCTTAATTTCAAGCCCAAACATTCGCTCAAGCTCGTGTATTTCAGTTCAAGAACTCGGTAAACAACCGACATTTTTCTTCTTCCTCCGGCTTATGAGAAAATATGTACGTATTTGAATAGCAACCCCGATTTTTACTCCACCGACGGTGTCCATTTAGAGCTAATAGCGTTTTCTAGTTCGTTTCGGACTACAAAAGGTTAACACCACACAAACACACACACGAGTAAGTGGTGTTTGATTAAAGCAAATGAAAAGCAAACACTTCCAAATGCCGACGAGGGCCGCGCTGTCCAATTAGATTTGTACCAATTATAAAAATAAGCATTCTCGAATACACTCAGGAACATTAAAACCATGAAAGGGGGAATTAACAAGTCTTTAAAACAACAGTTCTGGATTTTTTTCGAAAGTAACACTAAACAATCGAATAAGGAATCCATTTATGATGGGTTAACTTTTTAGTTCTATTATTAGCAGGAAGTTAACTTTTCTTTTTTTGGAATTTAAATTTTAGTATTTGTATTAACATACATGTATAAATACCTTACTTCCTGGAGCAGCAGTATCACTTATTACTTGTAGGTTTGGTGACAAGAATATTCATTACATTTGCTCACAATAAATCAAAGTATTAATGGTTTATTCTCAAGTCAACTATAACCCAATTGATTTCAAATTTCGATTGAACATTAATCATTTAATATTGTAATCCCGCATTGCGTTGAAGTTTTAAGGCTAATCGACTTAGAAAGACGAACAACTTTACGTAGATTTATTGAAGTTATTTGCACTAAATTATCGAACTCAACTGTTTATTAATTAAAGTTTAGATTTCACGAATCCAAAGAGTCAAACGGTTAATAGTTTATTAAAGAACTAATGTCATAAGACGTCATTTTGGTCTTATGACATGAGTTCTTTATGCTATTTTGTCTATTTTGCAAAAAATTTATTAAAAAAAATAATTTTATACCTTAAATTTAATTTGGTCGAATTTTACTTTAGATAGTTGGTATCACAGTCATTGGTTTGACAGTTAATGTCAAAATCGATTCGCCATGCCGTCCTTAATTTACTTATTTGCAATAAGCGGCTGTTAAAGAAGAAAAAAAGGATTTTCTTTGGTGTTAAACAAAATTTATTGCCAGAAAAGTCTCGTAAGTACTAGAAAAATCATAAAAATATTATAACCAATATGCAAAATATTATGCTGTTTAAAGTATAGCCAACCTATGTAATCAAAATTTTGGGTGGGATAAAGTGTCTCATTACAGCACGGAAAGCGGTGTTATAATGAAGTCATTATAAACGCAAAATAGATAAAAAATATTACAAGGGTTTGTCCCTGATAATAACTACCGCAATTTCATTAAGCGTGAATTATTTAAGGCTCTTTTAATATAAATTGACTTATTTATGTTTAAGCATAAATCAAGTTATTAATAAATTAATTAAATTAACTATAACTTGCCGTTTAATATCGCAAATACTCACAATGAAATAATTTTTCCGTTTCGCGCGCGACATTTATCCGATACCAGAGATTGATTCATGAGCTTAAATCCAATTTAATGTAACATTTATTAAGTCTGAGTTCTTATAATCCACCAGCCTATGATATGCTAAATATGATTTATGGGCTTTCTCGGGGTTTTTAGGACTTAAATTTAATAACACGGGCGAATTTTAAGACCGACCGGTTGGTTTCATTTCATCCGAAATTATTGGTAGTCGGCATTTGTTTTGCTTGTTTTGTTCAAGAAGAATGGTCAACCGAAAAATATCTTTAAGCCAAGTTTTATAAAAATGTGCACTTTTTTACTTAATACGTAAGACAATTTACAAAAAAATTACTATAACCATCAATTGTATACGTTAGTATAATAAGTTTGTTATATCAAAAAAATAGGATATCGTTTAAGTGAAAATTTCTGATTATGATGGATTTACTGTACAACGTACCTACGTTGTTCGTGTTACTCTAAAGTCATACATTATCGCTCATAAAACGAGAACCCGTTAGATCTGTCTGATCTATTGGTCATACGGCGATATCATCGGCAACACTGTAGGCCACGTTGCAATGCAACATTCCCGCGGAAAATGGGTCGCTTTAGATGTATCATACACAAACATAATGTTTGTGTATTTATTGCGATTATTATTTATAATATAGGAAATGGTCTTTCGAGTTCTATGCGCGCATAGGTACATTCACTTCTTAAAGTATTTTTTAAAATTAGAACATGCACATAGCTCACCTGCATCGATTTTTGTATCAAAGTAGAAGTTATGGGTGTTCCATTTTCTGTCCTTTTTGATTTTATGTTAACTTTAAAGTTCATTTGGAAATAGCAAAGATTAAAAATTGTTTCTTTGACTTTTTTTATTTATTTTCTTGATCATTTTTTTATTAGTTTTCATACAATTTCTCTACTAATTACCCATTTTTTTATTGGATACAATAGAAATTTCTTAAATCCAAATCCTATGAATATGTTTTTTATGTTTGTTTATAATAAAATGACGCAAGAATTCGGTTTCTAATTTAATCAGTGTTCGTTGTCAACCTTAATGAAGTTATTAATATATTATAAATTTACATTGTTAATCTGACACTTTTCGTAAATCATTTTTGTTCGAATGAAATCTGACTTTCTCGAGTTTATTAAAATTTACTGATTTTACTATTGAGAGAACTATTTCGTAAAATGCAGGTTGTTTTCCAAAAATTTTAGGGTACCATTTTACAGCCCAAAATATAAAAAAATGCCTTGAAGATGGCACTAAACCTGAGATAAAAAATAAAATGTACACAGTAAAAAAAATTTGTTAATTTTAACCAAATATTAACCAGATTTTATTTATTATTTTAACTAATTGAATAAGTAGTTTGTTATTATACAAACATTTTGTAAATTTAATAAAAAAATCCTATATCAATAATTCAACCACTATTCTTGTAATTTTCAAAAAGGACCTTATTTTTATAAACATTTTTGTAGACCCAGTAACAAAAGTATTTGTTGAAAGTTAGGAAAGAATTTTGGTAAAAAATGTTGCTTTATTAATCAATTTCCTAAATAAAAAAATTTTATACATACCTACTAGGATGGTTCTTATTTGACCGATTTGGAAATTTTAATCGTGCCGCCCTCTCATTTGTTTTTAAAAAATATAAAAAAAGATGTTTGCAAAATTTGAATGCCCTAACTTATTTCCTTCTATTGCCAGATAGAGGATTTTTGCCTTTAATGTATTAATTTTTTAAAATTACTATTAATCAATGAAAAAGGATAATTTTTTGAGAAAATGTGAAGGATATAAACATACTTAAAAAAAAAAAATCATTATTTGTATCCTAAGGTCTTTTTTACTTCTCTCGATTTTTACTTACAGTTTTTCATATAGGGAATTTTTAATAAATCATTAATAATTAATGAACAATTCTAATTTTTTGAGGAAATGAAGGGAAAATATGGTACTTTTAAACAAAAAAAAAGAATTCATGTATGTCCATAGTAAGGTATTTTTTACTTCATTCAATTATAACTATTATTGTTATTTTATTGAAAATGGCATAAAAAACAAAATATCAGTGATAATTTGCATTTAATGCATAATTAGTGTGTTTTGAAACGTAATTTTGTACTTTTCTATAAAACAAATAATTTAAGATTGCCTAAAAGATATTTAGGAAGCACCAACATTAGAAAAGTACAAAATTACAGTTATGTAGGTAAATAATGAAATTGATGTTTAAATTGTTTTCGAACAATTTATTTTTAAAGAAAGTAACATATATGTAACTATAGTTGAAATGGAAAAAAAATAAACAAAATAAAACCCAGATAATTAGGTTTTTGGTATTTTAAAAATTGTTTACAACAGTCTTTTTTTGCGTCGGGAAATGCTTTTAGAAACTCTGACACAAGCTGTCCCCAAATTATTGTTTTCGAAAGTAAATAAATTGTATTTCTGTACATGATTTAAATCGACTAACTTTAATGGGAAAAAAATACTTTTTTATTTATTTCATCTAAAGGAAAAATGCAAATTAAAAGGTCCAGTGGTCTTCCAGCGAAACCACTTAAAAAAATCATAGCTGCCTATTGCTCTATGTAATGAATAGTCAATTTACTTACGACATTATTTCTTGAGATTTTTTTAAATTCGAAAATTTCTTGGAGAAAATTTTTTGTCAGAAGTATTGGCATACAAAAAAACCTTTCAAGATAATTTTTGTAGGCATGCAAACCAGTCGCAATTGATTGAACATTTGGTGTAATTATTGTGAAATATACGAAAATATTAAACTAAACCTTCTTGCTTTTTTCAACGCGAAACGATCGGATACCGTTTGGGCCGCTCGAAAAAAACTCGGCTAAAAGTTGCAGTGCCACTTATAAATCTCGGTTTAATGAGAAATTTAAGCCAAAAAATTGTTTTGGTCTTATTGCAAAGTACACTTTAGTTTTTTACGCTCGTTTATATATAAGTTTAGTTAGGAATCGGAGGTGCAAAAAGTTTTTCTTTCCCACAGTATGGTTGTTACTTTGGACGCCTTATTTTACTAAAAATACAAAAACTATTTAAAATTAAATCGATTTTCTGGGTGGTCGTTTAAATTGCGTTTTATGAAATATTTCTTAGATATGTTTTTTTTTCTAAATAGAAAATTGAATTCAATTTTTTTTTCTAACATTGTTGGTATTTTGATGGATTTTGATTAACTTTGCGATACAAATAGAAAACATTCTGGAGAATACCGATGTATAGGGTAGCAGTAGTTTGAGCAAAGTTTGGGCGTTTTGTTTCGGAGGTGTGTGATTTCTTCAGAGTTCGGGAATGCGGCCGGACTGCTTCTTCATGCTCTCGGCTCGGCCCTCCGCCACGCCGGCCGAACATAGTTCTCGCGGTCCTCACACACACACCAACACAAACACGCGGCCATCTCTTCTTCTTCTTCTACTACTACTACTACTCGTTGACTGCATGCGCCATTCGACCGGCGTTGGTTCTGTTTTTCGACTTCATTTGCTCTATTGCTATGTTTCGTTAGAGGCATTCAAAGCGATAGAACTCGAGTTCAAATCATAAAAATCGTAAAGAATATAATGACAAAACAACATTTTTTGAGAAATGTAATAGTTATTTGTTTTACAATTGTTGAAAAGCGACTTTTTCATGCGAGTGTTTTAGTTGCTCACGAGCTTGAAGAAAGCTTTTCTCACAAGTGAAACACGATGTTTTTTCTACGATTTCTACGATTTTTTATTATATTCAAATACAAAACAAAATAACCTAAAAACGTGTTTGATAGCTGTTATCTTATTCTTTTAATTTTAAAGGTATAAGTTACTTAAAATTAATAAACTTAACTTTACTTTAAATAAAGGCACTAAAATTGGACTTTATTGTACAAACATAATTCATTGTGTTCTAAATGATATTGAGACATACAATACAAATTTTGAAACGAATGTCAAACGATGCTATCAATTTCTTTTCACAGAGACCTGTCACTTTTCACACAGAAATGTCACTTTACATTGCCAATGAAAAGATTTATTTTCTAAGCAATGATGCCATTACGAAATGTGGTCGTAGAAAAAATATTGTTTTCCTCTTTGTAACTTCATTTATAATATATATATATATATATATATATATATATATATATATATATATACATATATATATATATATATATATATATATATATATATTATACATATTGCATACATATTTATTGGTGATGCAATGGGAAGTGGTCACAACAGAAGCGAAAACTGATGTCAATAGTACATTTTTTCGAAAGGGATGCGGAAGTAGAAGCAGAGGTCTGTTTGCAACACTAATATACAGTTCATTTTTTTATCTGGACTCGTGTTTTTTTGTTAGGTTGGTGGCTTATGCCAGTTTGACTTAGTATTTTTCGTATTTAAAAATGGTACTTCTGCTAAAGAATTTAATTAAATACTTTGACACTTTCAAATTGGCAATAATATTTATTATTGATAATTTACTTGTCAATTATAAATAAAAAGATAATTATGCCAAAAATAATATCAACGAATTCGAATGTCAAAGCCCTCTTGAGAGCAAAACTTCATTATGATGAAATTATGCCAAATGCCACAATGGAAGATGAAATGGAAATTTTTCGAGTAAAAAAGTAACGAATTTGGTTTTATAAATATTACAATGTAATATTATTACATCACACATTATTTTCACATTATTCACCATTGGACAACATTTACGTTCACAAAAAATTTTAATTTCTTTTATATAAATTCTTTTCAAAGCGAAGAATATTATCGGCAAGGAATACTTTATCTTCTGAGCCGTAAAGCAACCTATATTTAACTACTTTTTTATATGATTTTACTCATCCAAGCACCACCAAAGCCAAATTAATTGCATTTTTAACTACGAATTTCGACAACTCAACTTGACAACTGCACAATGTAACCTACAATAATTTATGCATAACCACAATTAGATTTATAACTAGCTTAGTTTGTTTTAATCAATGCGACCAACTTGACAACTGTATTTACCAACCCAAACCCTAAATTTTCAACGTTGCCGCAGTCCAGATAAAAAAAACGAACTTTAAACTTTGTTTCAGGCGAGATCACCACCAAAGACCAGCTGGACCGCGAGCAGAGAGACTCGCACGACCTGGTGGCCGAGGCCAAAGACCAAGGCTCGCCCCCGCGAAGCGCCCGCGTGTCCCTCAAAATCCTCGTCCAGGACGTCAACGACAACGCGCCCGAGATCGTCGACCCTCAGGAGGACGTCGTCTCCGTGAGAGAAGAACAGCCGCCGGGCAGCGAAGTGGTCAGAGTGAGAGCCATCGATTCCGACAGCGGATACAACGCTTCCATAACCTACTCGATTTTGAACAACAAGGATTCCGATGGTTACGGGGTTTTCACCATCGACAGCGCCACCGGATTAATCCGTACCAGGATGACGCTGGATCATGAAGAAAGAACCATATACAGGCTGGCCATAGCGGCTAGTGACGCTGGGAGACCTCCAAAACAAACTGTGAGGATGTTGAGGGTTGAGGTTTTGGATGTCAATGATAATAGACCTACTTTTACAAGCTCCAGTCTGGTGTTTAGGGTGAGTATACTCAAATTAACACGAATTAACATTTTGGGTACCAAACTTCATTACAAACGAAGTTTGATAAAAATAACTCCACTGAAGTCTTTATTTTCATGAAGTTTTTGGGAAATGATTGGCATAAAATTTTGGTCAAAGGAAACCCCAATAAATGTAAAATATCGAACACCAAACTTAGTTGGGAAAAAGTTGACTAACTTTTCCAAACTATGGTTCTCTGGGTATCTCGAAACATTTGTTCTATTTCAGGTGAAAGAAGACGTCCCGATAGGCTTTGTGGTGGGGTCGGTGGCCACTAACGACCCCAGCGAAGAAAACTCCATCCCGGACAGCAGCCTGGGACACATAACGTACACTCTGAACTCCCTGTCGTCGGACAGAATTTCGGACGCTTTCGACATCGATCGCACCACGGGATCTCTCGTCGTGGCCCGTACGTTGGACAGAGAGGCGCAATCGGAGTACCGATTGGAGGTGCGCGCTCTGGACACGAGCGCGATGAACAATCCGCAGAGCAGCGCTATAACGGTGCGCGTGGATGTGGCCGATGTGAACGACAATCGGCCCGAGTGGGTGGACGATCCTGTCACCATTCCGATCAACGAGAACACCGATGTCGGGAGTTCGGTGTACAACTTTTCCGCGCACGATAAGGATAGCGGCAGCAACGGCGATCTGCGTTACAGTTTGGTGAAGCAGTACCCCGGCGGCAGCACTTTCGCCGTGGACACTCTCACGGGTACTCTGGTGCTGGCCGGGGCTGTGGATTACGAGAAGATTCAGGAGTACACTTTGATTGTCAGGGCTACGGATCAGAGTCTTAACGCGTCGGAGAGATTGAGCACTAGCGTTACGGCTAGGGTTATAATCACGGATGCGAACGATAATGCGCCGAAGTTCGTAGCGCCATCACCTGCCGTGGTGAACCTCGACGAAATCACCACGGTCGGTATGATGATTATACACGTGGTGGCAGTGGATAGTGATAGCGGCGATAATGGTAGAGTGACCTACATTATCACCAGTGGCAACGATGAAGGTTTATTTTCGCTGGGCTACGATTCGGGGATTATAACTCTGGCAAAACCTTTGATAGACCCGCAGAAGGCGTACACTCTAAACATATCGGCTACAGATCACGGTACCCCGACCAGACACGCCAGCATGGAGTTGAAGTTGCTGATCCAAGGGAATATTGATGACTCCCCGAAATTCTCCAGTGCCACGTACAAAGCAATGGTCAGTGAAGACCTACAAATAGGCGGATTTGTAACTCAAGTCTCTGCAAGTGCCATATCGAGCTACGGTAAGTTTTTAGTCTGATATAGTCTGTATCTAGCCTAAGGAAGATCATTTATGCGGCCTCTAAAAATTCTCGCAACTACACGAGGAGAGAAGTGGCGCGTAATTATATTAATATCGGTTTAACGGTGGTTTTGTTGTTACATCTGATGGTAATAATCCATTACAAGCTTTGATTAACTGTTACAAATAACTCTCCCCCCGTTCAGTTCACTGTAGCAGCAGCAGCAAGGCTCAAATTAGCCGCAGTGTTGTGTGTATTTTATAATATTATACCATGTCCGTTCTTATCCCAACCTATTAATCTCTAAGGTGAATGCCGACCATTTTTCTCGAAGACCCAGATTGCCGATTAGAATGTTTAGCGCAATGTAAATATTTAATACGTTTTCATATCGAATAGCACATCTATTTTGGCGTTAAAATATATGTCCATTTATATTATAACTTGTTGTATGAAGTATAAATTAATGCCCACAGCTAACGCATCTAGAAAATCCTCCACTGTCATCCTTGAATGAGTCTAGCTTCTTTAGGAAATTATCTCTCAAATGTGGAATGAACACCCTGTATTCTTCCCCCTAAAATTTACCTTGTTAAACCTCCAATTCTAAAAAATTCTTCACTGTCATGTTTAAATGATTCTAGATTCTCTAGGAAACTATCTCTTAAAGTATTTTGAATACCTGTTTATTAAAAACTTTTTCAAGACAGATTAACATATAATCAGGCATAGTCCCAAAAATGTACCTTGCGGAACTTCCTATTCTAGAAAATCCTCTTTTGTCATGTTTACATTTAACTTTAGGAAATTATCTCTTAAATCTTGCATAAAGTGTCTTTGAATACCCTGTATATTAAAAACTTTCCCACGACAAATTAATATATAGGTAATCATAATATAATATTCCCAAGAAGGTACCTTGTGGAACCCCCAATTTTAAAATATCCTCCACTCTTATGTTTAAATGATTCTAGATTCTCTAGTATTTTAAACACCCTGTATATTAAAAACTTCCCTAACACCCTAAATTATATTATAGAAGTATAAGGAGTAATATTAAAACATTATTAATAAATATAATTATTATAACTAATAAAATAATTGCTAAAGTACTAATAAACCAATTAAAAGCTAAATCAAAAAATCATCTAATTAGAATTCCTTTTATTTTATCGGATATATTAATTGTTTTAAGTAGCAATACATATTCAAATTGTATTCCGAGAAATTCTTGCTCCACATAATTACAATAATATTATCGGCATTGTGTTTGATGTTAAACATATAAATGGCTAGATTAATTCCGTATTGTTTCGCATGGTGAATAAATTAATTATATTTATGCGCGGATTATAAAAGCAATTAATTTATTTGCAGCTGGAAACTTGTCGTTCCTTATACCACCTGGATTCGCTGACGACACTTTCGAGATTACGTCCGGTGGAAAAGTGTCCACTAGGAAATCACTGGATAGAGAGCAAGTGGAAGAATACACTTTGCCAGTTTACGTTACCGATTCGACCCCATCTGGCACAAATTTAATAGACGTTTCCACTGTTGTCGTATCTTTGTCGGATGTTAACGATCATGCACCCACGTTTGCACCTGGTAGTTGCTATGGGTTATTGGTACCAGAAAATAGCGAAACAGCTGTGGTACATACGGTGGTGGCTAAGGATTTAGATGCAGGCCGAAACGGGGAGATTCTATACAGCATCACGAGCGGCAACATTGGCAATAAGTTCAGCATCGATGCCAAATCTGGTGATCTGACTGCTAAATCTCTGGATAGAGAAAGCCATTCCAGATATTATCTGACTATTACAGCCCAAGATCGTGGTGTGCCTTCTATGCAGAGCTCTTGCAACATCACTATATTGGTTGATGATCAAAACGATAACGACCCCAAGTTTGATTCGCCCAAATATTCAAGCACAATTCTGGAAGATGTCGCCATTGATACGTCGGTTTTGAAGGTCAGCGCGTTTGATATGGATATTGGTGTCAACGGGAGGATTATCTACTTTTTAGCCAATGAGAGTCAATGGTTATTTCGTATTGATAACAAAACTGGGGTCATCACCACTGCAGGGTAAGTTTGACTTGATTAAATGTTATAATTCCCAGCAAACACAACCGTAAAGGTTTTATAATGGCCCTTCATAACAGTGCCTTTAATAAACTAAAGGCCCTATAAAGGCTAACTCTGGAACTGTACATATTATGTCGCGTTCACCTTTAATGGGCATGTAACGGCACATTAAAGGCACTTACAAGAACCATTTTATTTTTTGATATGGTGCGCTAAAGGTTCTGATATGGGGTGTTTAAGATTCTATAGTGGTTATTAAAATATTTTTTAATGGTTAATTATTATTAATTTACTTTTAAAAATGATTCAGATACTTAAAATGTAACGTAATCAATATTAAAGGTGTAAAATCATTATTTCTTTTGCATTTAACTTAAAGTTAAAAAAAAAACGTTTATCTGCGAATATTGGTCTCTTTTGTTTGACGCAGAGACCAGCTTATCATGTCAATGTTCTCTTGCAATTATAACATTTAATTTTAAATAAAAGAAAAACGCTCGAAATACACACTAGCAAATGCAAAACAAAACTGAATCGTTGCCTACGCCGGCAATTTGCTTACTATGCATCTGGGGAGGGGCGATTCACTCGGGTTCACTCGAGTGTATATGTTTCAAATGAAAATATGGTGTACAGAAAACATTTGGCACTTCAATGGTTTTATAGTCCCAATAACTTAATACTAAAAATTGCCTTATATGGGTCTTTTATGGTGAAATATACAAATATTAGCCTGAAAAGCAAGCAAAGAAATTGCAAAGAAATTGCAAGACCTTATCACGACTGCCTTTTATTAAAATTATTATTTTTATTAAAACATGCCATGAAACTATTTAATGGGCTATTACATAATAAGACTCTAATATTAATATTATCTAATTAGCGGCTTATTTTTTAGGATGTTTGATAGAGAGCGGCAAAGTGAATACAACTTCCTCGTTGTGGCCACAGATGGCGGTAAATACAACGCTAGATCGTCAAGAGTGCCGATCTCCATACGAATAAGCGACGTGAACGATAATAATCCGATTTTCGTTAGTTACCCTTTTAGAGAGAAGATAGCTGCTTACACGCAGCCAGGACAAACCATAGTACGGGTACTGGCAAAGGATGCCGACCAAGGCACGAATTCGGAAATAGTGTACAGCTTGAAGAACGAGGAATCGTACGGGAAATTCCGCATAAACCCGAACTCGGGAGTTATAACAGCAACGCAGACCCTCGCAAGCGACGTGGGGAAGGTTATATACCTCAACGTGGTGGCCACGGACAAAGGCAACCCTCCTAAAAGTTCTTCAGGGTTGGTCGAAATCATAGTAGGTGAACTACCTGCGGGCGCTCCCCAATTGCGTTTCCAAAACGAAACCTACGAAGTCACCATACCGGAAAACTCCGATCAATTCCGCGATATAATACAAGTATCGGCGGTCAAAACCGACGGAAGAAGACATAGAATACACTATTCCTTCGGTACCGGTAACGAGGAGAATATTTTCGTTATAAACTCCGAAACCGGTATGATACAAGTTCGAGATCCAAAATACTTGGACTACGAGCTGCACAAAGAGATCCATCTTGTTATAGAAGCTAAAGCCGATAATCCAGTGCTGCACGGTTACTGCCACGTCAAAATAAAGTTGACGGACCAAAACGACAACGCCCCGAAATTCACGCAGCAGCAGTATTCGGCCGCGGTTTGGGAGGGCGACAGGAAGGGGGCGTTCGTTCTGCAAGTGGTAGCTTTCGACGCTGACGAGGGTCAAAACTCGAGAACTCTCTACCACATCGTCGACGGAAATCACGACAACGCCTTCAAAATAGAGCCCGCTTTCAGCGGAACGCTCAAAACGAACATAGTCTTGGACAGAGAAATCCGGGACAACTACAGACTGACGGTGATAGCGACCGACGAGGGCGTCCCGCAAATGACCGGCACAGCGAGGATACGAATCAACGTGGTGGACGTGAACGACAACCAACCCACTTTCCCGCCGCACAGCATCATTACAGTCAGCGAGGACACCAAAATTGGCACTGCACTCACTACAGTAACAGCCAATGATGTGGACACCAACCCCCCTCTAACGTACAGCTTCTCGAAGCAGAGCGATAGAAACTATTTGGACTACTTCAGCATCGACCGGTACAGCGCTAAAGTTATCCTGAAGAAACCTTTGGACTACGAAACGATGCAGGAGTTCAGATTGAAGATAGAGGCGTCCGATACAGCCTACGTAGCTCAAACCACACTGACAATCAAAATAACCGACGTCAACGATAATCCGCCGGTGTTTACCCAGAATTACTACCAAACCAGCATGCCGGACACTCACTACGCCGGTTACACCGACATCCTGTCTCTCAACGCCACCGACGACGATTTCGGAGACAACGCCAAAGTCACCTACTCGATATTCAACCCAATATCCGGTTTCACCATTGGTACAAGTGATGGTATACTACGCGCCAACGTTTCCAATGTCTCCACGATAACCAATGACGTGCAGCTGACTATACAAGCTACGGACTCTGGGACGCCTCGAAAGCATTCTTTTTCTTCGGTCAAGGTTAAAATCAGCGGAGGATCTTCGCCGATATGCTCTCACAAAGGAAACGAGTACAAGTAAGTGAAAAAACTGTTCTTAATTTAAATTTAAACAAACTAGTTCTCCTTTGGATAGTTTGAAGCCTTAAAGTTTGTTTTTATAGTGTTTTACAATCACGAGGTTCCCTCTAGGTCCCCAGAATAGTCTTATGCTTCTGGAGTACCAGCATTGTCTCTAGCCTGACATTACCTCACTCCTTAAGCTGCCTCTTTTATTTTATCTCGTTCTTGTCTTTTCTTTTTTATACAACATTTTTACAAGTTGGTATGGGAGGTCTAAGTAAACCTTTTCTGTATATAAGAAACTTATTTCCTACCATATCCAGGCTAAATCAATCCTTTTTTAATATCCAGAAGTCTGCTTACCTATTTAAAATACCCAGCTCTGCGAAAAGTATACGCGTGTCGAAAAAATATGCATACTTTGGTGAAGGATCTACCAAAATCAGAAAGCTTAAGTTGTGTATGGTCTCATACACAGACCTGTGGTCTCATAACCCTCTCTTCAAAAATGAATTAGTTACTACGGTCACCATTTTAGATTTCGTCCATATACCACGTTGTATTCGGAAGAGTTACATAATTTTCAATTGTCAATGTAAAAAACTTATTAATTTAAATCTTAACGAGCTAAAAAAAAGATGATTAAAAAATGTATAACGATTTCATATGTTTTTTGCCAATATGGCGCCCTACACGGCCGACATTTTGGATTTCGTTAATATGCCAGTTTGTATTCGAAAGTGTATGTCCTAAAGAAGATTTTAAGGCGTTAGTCATACTTTTAGGTGGCTTTAATTTTTGGACAGGTGGGGGTAAAAGTGACGTGGATCGTCCCATATATATATTTATTTTTATCGCTATATGTAGGTACCTACCATTTCTCTGCTGAAAGTCTTAGTAACTCTTCCAGAAGACTTTAAAATCTTGCTATTAGTCTGACTTATTAAGTTTTACTTTGACTTTTTACGACTTTTTTTTAAGAGATAATAATACTTTCCACAAAGGTAACCTATGTGTATTATACTTGAAAAAGGACAACTTTTGTGATAGGTATGTTAAACAAATATTAGAAATATTCCCCAACACCAAAACAAAACAAAGTGCTTTGTGTTTTGTTTTTGTGTATTATAAAAAAAAACTTTAATTTACTTTTTTGACATGGGGGTAGTTTGAAGAGCGTATTTCTTAGACTACTTTACCCACATTGACAAACTTGTTTAGCAAACTTTAGGCTACAAAATATCCAACTTTCTAGACTATTTTATTCAAATTTTATAGACCATTAATTTTGCAAATCAATCAATACTATTTATGTTTTAGTGTTAATATTCTGGAGAATACACCCAAAGGAACCACAATTCTTCACTTAGACAACGCGAAACAATTCAGGAACCTCAGGATAACCGAAGGCAACGAGGACAACGTTTTTGAAGTATCGAACCCGACAGGCGGCCTTATAATCATCAAAACTCTGGACCGAGAAGCCGCCGAGGTGTACCACCTCAAACTGACCAGCGATTACGATCGCTCTAACGCGACCGCAATCAAAATTCGGGTCACCGTGGACGACGTGAACGATAACGCGCCGGTGTTCAAGCAAGTCGACAGCGAGATCTCCATAAGCGAAGGCACCGCCGTTGACACGCAAATACAAAAGTTCGAGGCGACGGATGCCGACCTGCCCAGAAGCAAAAACTCGGATATTGCGTACGACATCACCTCGGGAAACGACGATGGGTTGTTCCGGCTGGACCCGGAAAGTGGCGGTTTGTACGTCAATAGAACCCTCAACTATGACGAAGGCAGCGTCGAGTACCACTTCGTTGTGAGGGCTTGCGACAAGGGCGATCTACCGCTGTGCACGCTGAACACCTTCCGAGTTATCCTCGAAGACGTCAACGATAACGCGCCAAAGTTCCCGGTGTCGGAGTACTTGGAGTTTGTGGGGGAAAACGAACCGTCTGGCACTGTGGTGTTCACAGCCCACGCTACAGATAAGGATAAAGGTCCGTTTGGCACTCTGAACTACTCCATAATATCGCCGACGGTCTACAACGGTTTGGACGATTCCTGGAAGCTATTCAACATCGATTCGAGCACCGGAGTCATATCAACGAACTCGGTGTTCGATTACGAACAAAAAAATCGTTACATTTTCATGATTAAAGCGTCCGACATAGGCGGGAAGGAATCCACAGTAAAAGTGCGCGTCGAAGTGGAAAGCAAGGATGAATTCCACCCGCAATTCACCGAAAGAACTTACCGTTTCGTCTTGGCAACATCAGTCAATTTACCTGTTGGTTATGTGGTTGGAAATGTGGTGGCCACGGATCGGGATAAAGGCCCCGATGGGCGCGTTGTTTACCAGTTAACCACCCAACATCCTTACTTCAAGATCAACAGGACTTCCGGGGCCGTTTTGGTGAAGAAAAAGTTCACCAATAACGATCTGCCTGTCATGGGGAAAGAGATCAGTTTGGTGGTGACGGCTAGTTCCGGCAGGCAAGGTTCTCTCACCAACATGTCCGTGGTCGAGATCATTTTGGATCCCCTGGCGGATCCGGGCACCAATTTGGCGATCAACGGCGAGAACAATTCCACTTTCGCGCCCCCAAACGGTGGTATAGCCGATTGGGCCCTGGGACTATTGATAGCTTTGATACTGTTACTGATAACCTTCGGAGCCGTGTTTGTGTTCCTCCATATGCGTAACAAGCGTAACAAAAAGATCAACAAGCCGAACCTGGGTAGTGAATCGGTATCGACCTCGAATAACTATGTGGATCCCAGTTCGTTCGACACCATACCGATACGCGGTGGGGGCGGCGTCGTTTCCGGCGTCAACAATCAGTTCGCGCCCCCGAAATACGACGAAATTCCGCCGTACGGTGCGGGACACGCCGCGAGTTCGAATTCCGGAGCCGCAACGACGTCGGAGTTGTCGGGATCGGAACAATCGGGATCGAGCGGAAGAGGATCGGCCGAAGACGGAGACGACGGCGAGGACGAAGAGATCAGAATGATCAACGAAGGGCCTCTGCAGAGAGATTCCGGTATACACCGAAAGAACGACGACGACAACCTGTCGGACGTTTCCGTTAGAAACACGCAGGAGTATTTGGCGAGACTGGGGATCGTCAACAACAACAGCGCGGGCGTGCCGCAAGTCGCTTCGAGGTTGTACCCCGACCCCAAAGCCGGAAGCAGCAAGGATCTGCACCACCACCAAGCGGTCCCGCTGGACATATTCGACGAAGAGAATAGCGCCGAAAACGACATTACGAATTTGATCTACGCGAAATTAAGCGACGTGGCCGGAAGCGACAGGGCTTCATCAACGGACGAAGGGGCGGTATCGAATTCGGCCCTTGGTAACGCGATGGATCAAGTCATGGTGATGGGTGGTTACGCTGAAGTCCCCAACGTAACCCATCAACCGTCCATGAACGGATCGCTGAGCTCCATAGTGCACAGCGAGGAGGAATTGGCCGGCAGTTACAACTGGGACTACTTGTTGGACTGGGGGCCGCAATACCAACCCCTGGCGCACGTTTTCTCCGAAATAGCAAGACTGAAAGACGACACCTCCTCGGTGCACAGCGGCGCCAGCGGAGCCTCGAGCATAAAGAGCAAAAACTCCGTGGCGCCGGTGAAAAACCTGCCGCCGCCGCTGATAACGAACGTGGCGCCCAGGTCGATAGCGATGCCCGTTCTGAACTCGAGGGGCGCTTCCGGCCACCACAACCTGACGATACTGCCCAGGTCGCCCATCAACCACGACACCGCCTGCTCGACGTTCAGCAACAGCGCCGCGATGTCGCCCAGCTTCTCGCCGTCGCTGTCGCCGCTGGCCACCAAGTCGCCGTCCATCTCGCCGCTGGTGGCGCCCGGCCTGCCCACCGCGCACCACGTCATCTCGAGGCAGCCCACGCAGAGCCGGAACAAGAGTGTCGTGGACGCCGAACTGAGGATTTAACGGTGCGTAGTGCGCGATAGGCTGTGCTAAAGACTGATTTTCGGGGTTGCACTTCTTCTGGCGCATTAAGAGTTACGTTTTAGCATGCAACTGAAGTTGGCAGCCATATTGGCTAGGCTATCAAATAAAAGGGTTTAGCGAGTAGAAAACGATGAGGTGAGTAAACATTTCCAACATTTTTAACCTATTAAATTTTTAAAATGTTTTTTTTATAAAGTTTTTCAAGATTTCCAAAATCATCAAAAGTATGATTTTTAATTAAACCTTTAGTTACCTATTGTATCTTTGTTTTATCATCTTATCGTTTTTCGTACTTAAATTAAACAAATTGCATGCGCCCTTGTGGACATTTTTCTCTGCAAAAGTTTTAATAAATAAAAATAGGATTCTCACTTTCTCTTCAAATCTCGGAATAAGACTTATTAACTCTTGATAAAACCTTAAAAAATTTAAGGTTGTACGTCAAGTGGGACCAGAAATTTCACAAAATCACCAATTTTAAATATAATCACATTATTGTGTAGTAGACATGACCCATATGTCACAGTAAAAAAATTGTTTTGAAATTCGGTTTCTTGGTAATGTTATTAAAAAAATAGAATCTCTGGGACCACTCTGTATAATTAAATTAAATTTTACACTATTGTTAGCACAGCAAAGCGCGCCGCGTACTGATCCTGATCAAACGCACAGCGGGACCAATAATTTAATATATCCGAAATGACATAAGAAAGGCACATTTTTGAGTACATCTTATTAAACGAAAACGTTTGCCGCATATTATGACACATACAAAATTTCAATTGTTTATAATAAATGTATGCAAAATTCTTGTATTGAAACAAATTTACCTTAATTAAATGATCATTCTATAGTCGAAACATTGCTACAATAATGTGTAAAATTTAATTCAATTTTTTTCAATTTTACAGTGCTATTAAATTTGACAAAATTATTAACTTAAATATAATTAACAAAAAACGATTTTCAAAACAATTTTTTTTGTTGTCATATACATACGTCATGCCTACTACACAATTATGTGATTATTTTCAAAATCGGTGTCTTCGTGAAATTTTGTGGTCCGACTTGACGTGCCTTGACTTAAAAAGTTTTAGAAAGATTGACCGTCTGGTTTTCGAGTAAAAAATTAAGTTGCTAAGACTACGCGAGATATTATCGTTTGTTATTGCTAAACCGTGTTGTGAATGTTGACAAACATTTATATGCCAATTCTACAGGCATTTTATATGCCAATTCTACAGGCATTTTATTCAAAAAATGCAAAAGTCAATTTTTCTAAACATTTTTACGGATAAAATAATTTCCGACGTATATTTTCAATGGACTTCTTTTTGCAAAAAAGACCCAACCGACTGTTTATTTAACGTTTACTTTTATTTTCTTAAATAAATTTAATTCAATTTAATTTATTATTTTTTCTGTAATAAAGAATATTTTTTAAAATTAAATTAATGTTGTGTATTACTTTTTTAAAATGTGTTTAAAAAAAAATACATCTATACAGCCCATAAAGACATTAATGCATATCTTCTAACGTGACATTAAAAAATTAATATTTTTTTTCTTGTATGCACTTATGCCTGTAGAAGTGCCGTATAAATTTTTGTTGACTTTCACCGCAGTTTTGCAATAATAAACGATAATGTTGACTGTGTCCAACCAAAATTATCAATGTGTCATTTTCGTCTAGAAGATCCGGCAACACTGGATAACGAACACGTGATTATCTAGGGATGTTTGGTTTAATTTATTTGGTGACTACCAAAAATGATTCAAAAAAAAATTGTATTATATACCCAAGTTATTATAACAAACACTCTTAAGTATTAAAACTCTCAGAGAAAAATTTCCACAAGAGCAAAATTTTTTCCTTAGTTACGCCAAAGACGTACAACTTCTAACGCGCGTATATAAGTACACGCACGGATTTTTTTAACTCGATTTTGTAAATAGTTTACTGTAAATACCTTAAAGCAATGCTCATTTAGGTAGTACTTATTACATTTGCCTGCCATTTTTAGCCATAAAGACTTTAAAATGTAAAAATCTCCCTCCCCAACGTTAAATTATTTTGAACGCCTCTTTGTAGATATGTATGTAATGTTTGTAAGTCAATTGTAAATTATCTAAATTATTTGAATTGTATAACCAAATGAGAGAGCAAAATGTCCCGCCGTTTTGTTTTAACTGAAATGTATACTGTGTAAATTTAATATTAAGTACTGATATTTGTGTCATAAGATATAGGTGTAAAAAATGTACAAATTAAAATAAATAAACACACAAATAAAAGATTTAATTAAATACCAACGACTTTTATTCTTACCTATGACCTAACCAACCCAACCTTACTCAACAATACTTTTTTTAAAGAACAAAAATAATCCGCAAATCATATATTTTTGGAACACCCTGTAATATTTGTATTATTGTACAAGATCGAAAACATAAGGATTAGTTGAAGTTTAAAAAATAAAAAAAAAATTACTCGTTAAATTTTTATTAAATTGAACAATGTTTTGGTGACATGTAGTAACATGATGTTACCGTATAAAATATAAATTAAGGCACATTTATTTAAAACTAAAAACATTTTAAATTATTTATCAATTATAATAAAATTTAAAGTTTAAGTACACTTTTCCTAGGAACAATTATTAGTAAATTTATTGTCCAATTTTCATAAATTGTATTGAGATGATTTTTAATAAAATTTGAATTGATAATACCTACAATATCAAAAAGGTAAATAGTAAATAGAAACTAGATATAAAATACCTAAAAAATGGAATTCGCAAATATCACCAACAAAGGAATAAATACCTAAAAATATCACAATGTTTTTAACTCAGACAAAAAATACTAAGAAAATTATTTACTAATTAATACCTACAATTAATAAATATTTGTGTTTTTTCGGTGCTTGAGTTATATTTCCTAATAAAATCTAATTAATCTAGTAATACTTATTGTAATAAAAAAAATATCTTTTATAATGGTGGGGTGGGGCTTGAAGGGTCATTCGAGGATAGTCTGTTTAATAAGGGGTCAACTTCATCTTGACCCACCCTTGTACTCATTGACCTGGCCAACAAATTCAATTTTAGCCTAAAAAAAGTTAAATTATAATATGGCAAAAATATTACAATAAATTTTAAGCCATTCCATTGATCAGCTTTCTACATATAAGCGCATAAAAAGTGATTTATTGGTGAAAAACATTTAAAGGTGATAAAAGCAAATATTGGTAAAGTAATAAATTGGGAATATACACTGCGCGTCAAAATTAACGCATAACAAGTAAAAAAAAATCCAACTCTAAAACGCATTTATCAATCTTTCTAAAATTTTGGATAAAAAAAATTGTCGATAAATTTTTAATCCAAAAATTACCACTTTTAAATTTAAAACTAACATTTAAATGTAATGTTAGAATTTTTGTATCAAAAATGTATCAACTATCATTTTAATGACTCTTTACAAATTTAAACCAATAATTTTGTAGAATAAAATATTAAATCTAGTTTTTAAAAACGAATATTTTCAACTCAAAGTTTTACATTTGCAATTTATTATTTATTTAATATTTTTTGATTCTTAATTGTTTTGAGTTTAAAAAAATTTAACTTTTTAAACTATTTTGGTAAAAAATGCTTTTATGTGATTTTATTTTAAATTTCTCGACACTATGTAACTTTACCAATGTAATAGAAATAATTTTATAAAATATTTATTTAAGATTTAAAAAATTCTGCCTAAATAAATTATACTTAAGAAGTTATTTTTATTAGAAAATGATAGAAATATTGTTTAATACAGAATACTGTTAGTAAATTTTACCTTTGATAGTTGAAAATATTTTAAATTTATAAATGTAAACCTCAAATTTTTAGTTGGGAAAATTTTAAACCAATAAAATTTTAAATTAAAAAATTATTTAATACACGTTAAAAGGGCGTGCCGTAGAAAACAAATAACTAATAAATTTTAGTTTATATAAATACAATTGATTACCACATTTTACGACGAAGAGCTTAGCAGCAAAATATTCAAGCTTGAAAAGAGAAAAATCGCATTTACAAAACAACACATAGGCTTACAAACAATGAGAAATGTTGGTCAAACAAGATTTAACTTTTATGTACCTAGTTGGAAAAGTTAGTCCCTTAAAAAATCCTTTAGGCTTTTGGTTCTGAAAATTGTAATGCTATGTAAACGCCACACCCAATTATGTTTTAAATGAGAAGCTTAACGACCACAACAAAGTTCATCTTCCAACTCTTTTAAACCTTAGGTGTGAAGATTAGACTGGGCCAAAAAAATCGACTATTTTTTTTTAAAAGTATATCGAAAATATTGTTTGGGGTGACAAAAAACATGGTGAAATTTTGAGTCCATAATATTAATATTAAGAGGTCTATCATCGCAATTTTAGATTTTTTTTTTCCTGAGCGAGTTTTTGTCTCAGAACTTCCAAATCATTGAGTTTAACAAAATTGACTTAAGAATATTTTTTGAAGAAAAAAAAAAGGTTTGATTGAAATTTCCCGTTAGATGAACCGTTTTCTTACAATCATGCCTTAAAAATTGGTATAGTTTTACAATTTGATCTTTAAACTTTGGAATTTTGTAATTCAAGTAAAAATCAGTACCCTGAAAAAAAACGATAAATATTCTTATGGGAAATTCACTCCATCAAAAGTTATTCAAGGTTAAAATTTCGTTTTGACTTCAAATTTCACCTTGAATAACTTTTGATTGAGTGAATTTAGTCAAAAATGATAAAAGACTTTTTTTGTAGAGCATTTGATTTCCCATAAGAATATTTATATATTTTTTTCAGGGTACTGATTTTTACTTGAATTACAAAATTCCAAAGTTAAAAGATCAAATTGTAAAACTATACCAATTTTTAAGGCATCATTGTGAGAAAACGGTTCATCTGACAGGAAATTTTCTTCAAAAAATATTCTTAAGTCAATTTTGTTAAACTCAATGATTTGGGAGTTCTGAGACAAAAACTCGCTCAGGAAAAAAAAATCTAAAATTGCGATGATAGACCTCTTAATATTAATATTATGAACTTTCACCATAATTTTTTTTTGTCGCCCCAAACAATATTTTCGATATACTTTTCAAAAAAAAAAAAATAGTCGATTTTTTTGGCCCAGTCTAGTGAAGATAGGGCACAAAAAGAGTTTAATTAATAATCAGTTAAATTTAGTACTTTTAGGAGAAATAAAATGAGTACTTACCGGCTTAATCTTTCCTCGTCGCGTCTTTTTTTTAACTGACTGAAGTCATCCTCAGATTCAGTATCAGTCTCAGATCCGCCAATGCTAACTCTGTCAGGCTGGTCGTCTTTCATTTCATCCGCTTCGGGGGCGGAACGCGAGAAAGGGTACATTTCGTAGGCGGGATCGTTTTCGATGTTCCTAAAAATTATAACCGTAACTTTCGTCATCCAGAACGGATGTGCTAATCTCCTTACATGTCTCCGAGACTCTTCACTAGCGGCACGTCGATGGGGAGGGACGGAGGCGGTGGTCCGAACAAATTCATGACCGACGGTCGCGCATCCCGCGCCGATCTTTGCGACGTGATGGTTTGTTGCTCGTCGACCTTGAAAATTTCGTCAATTACTTCATATTTCACATTATATTCTATTCGTCAAATTTCGCTAATTACTTCATTATCATTCGATACACTATTCTACATTTCGCATTCTACTCGATTCTATCATTCGTTTTCGTGTTTGCTTGTCGGGGTGGAGGTGACAAGTTCGTCGGAAAATCTTATGCGAATGTTACGGGGGAACTATAAGAAAATATACTGCTGGGTGTTGGAAGGGAATGGAGAATATTTGACATTTTAGATTTGGGGTAACACAGGTTACATGGGCAAAGGGACGCCGCACGGCAAAGTTTTTCACTTTTTGTTAATTCCGTATCGCGATTATTTCATGAACAAGTTTTATCTCTTTCGAAATGTTGATTTATTATTCTTTAGGTATATCATCATTGTTTTTACCTCCAAAAGCAATGATATCCAAGCAAAAAAGAAACAGGTATGCACACAGTGTATTATGTAATCAAGAAAACTTTTAAACTTATTCAAAATCGGTTAGTAGGTACATTGTTATCATTGATTACTGACAGGTCGGTTGTTATTGTGGTTTCTCTGGTTTCTCATCCGGATATGATAGCATAGTTGAACATTTATTATGATTTTGTGGAACACTTAAAAAAATAGCTACACGAGCATCAATCGACGTAAAAAGTGAAATTTGAAATCGACGGGAAAACCAGGAAAACCTCGAGATACCTAACAATAAAAAGTATTGTTTTATTCAAAGTACCTAAAAATAGCTAAACAAAAACAAATATCAACAAAGTAATCAATGATAACACAATTGTAAATTTTTAGTGAATGTAGATTATTGCCCACTGTGCAAGCACATTTAGCGTCAGTTGTCATAGGTCAGGATCATCCAGTGGCGGCCCAAAAAAATGTAATGTTTATTTTATAAAAAACGGCACTAATGCAAAATTGATAGATATAATACCCGTGTTTGGTCTTTTACCGTTGAGTAAAGACCGAGCGCTTTTAATAATGCTGTTTAAATTAAATTGTCCATTGTATCTAATAGGTACAATTGATATTTACAGGGACTGTATTCAATTTATTTCTTCATTCCGATTTACACTGTTTATTGGAAAACCGGTAAAATTTCTGCCCAAGATTTCCTCTCGAAAAACACCCAACAACACAACAAATCGTTATTATCGATATTATTAACATTTTTCGGACTGTTGCCTATTTAAGCTGTAGTTTTGTTACGAGGATGACGGCCGCGTGGTGGCGCCACTAGCGATGCTTCTTAAGCGTCAAAAGTTAGGGTGAATTTAACGAAAATCGTTATAAACTTTTATGCGTACTATCAATTTGATTGGAGTTGAAATAACTCGAAAATGCATTCACAACATTCACGAACGAATTACGAAATTTTACAAAGTTATCGAACAGGATGATAACGATTCGATTTCTCTTCATTATTTACTTTCAAGACTGAAATTCACTTTATTTCTAAACACGGTGCTGTTCTGAGAGGTGATTTTTGGACTTTCTGTGAAACCTAATTTTTTTTATATTCTTGTTAATTAGGTCATAACTAAAATTTTAAGAGCAAAATAAAAAAATTTGACGGTTAATTTTGTTTTAATTGGATGTTTATTAAAAATATGTATGCACACTTTCAATTATCCAATTAAAACTAGCGATTTAATTTAAATATTTAATATTTGCATAACTAAAAAAAAGGTTTTTACAATTTTTTTTATATATTTTACTGTTTTGTTGCAATAAACGTTCAAACTTTTAATCTAACCTTTGACGTATACATTTATGTTCCCTTAATTAATATATCCTTAAAGGTTTCCATGAAACTTAATTTTTGTTTAGTTTTTTAGTGTTTTTTATAAACAAAAATGAAAAATTGTAGTAAAAGTTACGAAGAAATTCATGAAATTTAACTAAGGACCGGTTTATTCATCTTTAGTAAAGTTTATCGGGCCGATAACTTTCATGTCTTGGCAATATCTAGTATCCAAAGAAATTATTCGTCAAATAAATCAAAAATGAATAAATCGGCCCTAAATAAAATGTGGCACCCTTAGAATTATTGTTTAATAAATGTATACTATACATTTAACCTTAAATTAAAACTTTAAACGTGTATTACAACAAAACAGTGAAAGATATAAAAACTGTATAGACCTTTTTTTAGGAAATTTACTAATCTTTAATCTGATTTAAAAAATTATGATAATATTTAAATAAAATCGCAAGTTTTAATTGGAGAATTGAAAGTGTGCATACATATTTTTAATAAACATCCAATTAAAATAAAATTAACCGTCAAATTTTTTTTATTTTGCTCTTAAAATTTTAGTTATGACCTAATTAACAAGAATATAAAAAAAAATGTTTAGAGTTTACTATGCAGTAAAATTTTAAATTGTGTTTTATGCTGGATTTGTGATTTGACAAAATTTGCTGAAAAAGACGAAGAAATCTCCGCCCCTTTGCCCAAGGCCTGTGCTTAAACTCAAACTTACCTTGACTTACCCTAACAACTTAAAAACATAAACTTACCTCTTCTATAACTTCATCGGCCAACTTCTTGCTGATGGGCACCAAATTGACGGCCTCCCCCGCGTCCGCCCCCTTTTCCGACCCCCCCTGCTTGTCCTCCTTGCTGAACAACCTCTTCAACTTGACGATGGAGGACATGGAGCCGGTCATGGCGTCCGGAACCGAGGAACCGAATATGGAATTCTGCGAGTTTTTTCTCGATTTCGCCGTGAACATAATGGGACCGCTTTTGAGGTCAGCGTACGAGGACATGTCGTCGATTTTGAGGGAGGACGGGCCGAAATCGGCGTCGTTGGGGGCGGGGGCGATGTTCGCGGTCGAGGGGAGGGGGTGCGAGTCGCGGAACGGTTCCGATTCGGCGGTGTAGGGCAGGGAGGTGGGGAACACCTCGTCCCAGTATTGGTCTTTGATCAGCTCGGGATGGTCGTGGTGCATTTCGTCGACTATGAGATAGGAAACCTGGAGGGAATCAAAGATTATGGTTTCTTACTCCCTAAAACTATTTGTTCTTAGTTGTTTAAACCTCGATAAATCCACAATCCACACAACAAGGTCTGTGTCTGTGTAAATGCACAAACTTTAACGGCGGCCATTTTTATGCTGTTTACAATTCTTGTGCTTCGGGTTTGTGCTGTTTATACAGATTTATAATCGTTTTAAACGCTGTGTTTCTTACAGAGGAAATTGTAAGACTTAAAACTCTTCTTTTGTAAAAAATAAACCTTATTCTACTACTAGGGCTGTCATCAAACTGTCAAATGTCAATTTTAAGGTTAATTTGTGGGTAATGGTAAATTAACCTTAAAATTAAAATTTTAGTTTAATGACAGCCCTGATGGAATAATTAATAATTAAGGTATATTTTTTTACAAAAGAGGAGTGAAATGGTTGTCCTTGGCACTCATTTGAAGCTTACACAAGATACATAACGTTTAAAACGATTTTTAATCATATATTATATCACGAAAACTATGAATTTAATCGGTTAAACTAGGCTCAGTAGTTTTTTGTTTGGATTTTGTTGGAAAATGTTGAATGCAAAATAATTTAATAAAATCACAAGACCGCGTAGCGGTCGAGGGGTTTTATTTTTAATTATTTTGCATGAAACTATTTTCCAAAAAGAAAAATCAAATAAAAAACTTACTGAGCATAGTTTGACAGATTAAATTTATAGGTTGAGTGATATACGTCTAGATTATTTCTCGAATTAAAGGAAACTATTTGACAATTCATAAAATCTGACGTATGTGTCAAAATTTATAATTTTTTTAAAGAAAATTCCATTAATTTAAGGTATGTAATAAGTAATAATTGATATTTCGTAAACTAGATAACTTATTTTTTATTGTTTTTTAAAAAATGTTTGTTAAAACTAGTAAATAACACTATAAAATCGTAAACAAAAATCCAATAGGTATGGAGGCTAAAATTTAATCGCTGTTAAATAGTTCTAGTGATTTAATCGCTTATTTAAACGAAATTTATTCCAAAATTCAAGGCTTTTCATTGGTTCATATTATAATGAGGGAAATAATCTGTATAAACAGCTTAAACTCAAAGCACAATAATTGAAAAAAACATAAAAATGGCCGCCGTTGCCGGGTTGCCTAACTTCGTGATTTTTAGTATTCGCGAATTTCGTTTAACGAGATAGACCCAAAGATATTATCTTTGGATAGACCTTGTTAAGCCTGATTTATAGATTGCCTTCCTTCCTCCCGTAAAAGATGAACAATACGAAAATCGTAGTGCCATTTATAGATTCCCATACGGGAATCTTTAAACAGCACAACGGTTTTAGTATTGTTCTACTTCTACGTGAGGAAGGAAGGAAGGAATCTATAAATTAGGCTTAATGTGGATTTTGGATTAATCTAAGTTTTAAAACCTTATATTGAAAATGTAAAAAATCACCTTGGTATAACTTATTAAAAAACCTTAAAGCAGTGTATTATTTATAAACTGAAATCTTGGGTGAATCTAATGTTATAAAAAACATTAAATCATAAAACAGTTCTTCGTAATAAATAATATTTGGCAACTGGAAAAAACTATTAAAAAAAAAATAAAAACCTATTTTTAAGAACATGACAAACATTTGTTCTTCAACAACAAAATTTGTCACATAACTTATTTCCTTGAGGTTCTTAATTAATTATAGAACAATATGGAATAACAACAAAATCAATATTTTTCATTATAAAAACAACATAAAAATGGCCGCCGTTAAAGTCTGAGTAGTGGGTTGCGAAACTTGCGAAAAACGAAATAGAACAGATCTAAAAATTTTAAAACTCTATTGGAAAATATGAAAAATAACAAACAATGTGTAAAGTGAATCTAAAAAATAAAAAAACAACAAAAACATAGAGACTTAATATTATTTCCAATGTTATAAAAAACATTTAATTACCCCATAAAACCCCTCTTCGTAATAAATAATATTCAACAAAAAAATTTGTCACATTGCCTAACTTCGTAATTTTTAGTATGCGCGAAACTAGATAGTAGGTACAGACCTTGTAGTGTGGATAGTGGATAAATCTAAAATTTTTAAAACCTTATTGGAAAATGTGAAAAATCACCTTGGATATTGAAGATATTGAAAAACCTTAAATCAGTGTAGCATTTAAATCTTTAAAAATTAAATATTAAATACCCGAAAATTAAAAAAAATGTGTAAACTAAAAGCTTGGGTGAATCTAAAAAAATCATTAATATAAAAAAACTAAAAAAACCATAACAAAAATATAGAGACATATTTTTAATGTTATAAAAAACATTAAATGACCTATAAAAACGGTTCTATTTAGTAAATAATATTTAGCTATTGGGAAAAACTAAACTGATCGAAAAAAGTTAAGGATATTGTGAATTCTCTGAGGAAAAATTGTTTTCAAAAAAAATTTTATAACGTACATTTACTGTCATCTCTTTTAGAAATAAAACACATTTGTTTAACTGAAAAAATATTTTAATTAAAATTTACAGGCAACTTTTCTCTTACAATGTAACACAACAGATAATTATCAAAAAGAAATAAATTATTAATAGTACATTTACTCTCATCTCTTTTAGAAATAAAACACATTTGTTTAACTGAAAAAATATTTTAATTATAATTTACAGGCAACTTTTCTCTTATAATGTAACAAAACCGATAATTATCAAAAAGAAAAAAATGATTAATAGCGTGTAATTCCACCTCTGCTGGTTATTACTGCTTCAACTCGGCGAGGCATGCTTAAAATTAAACGATCCAAGTCATCTTGATCCAAGGTATCCCATAAATATGGAAGAACTTGCCTCACGCCCTGAACAGGAGGTTGATGGGCAATTGGTGCCCTTCCGAGCAAGTCCCAACCATGCTCGATGCAGTTTAAATCTGGAGAGAGCGGGTATAATGGCAAATGATTAATTTCATGGAATGCTGGCCGTTCTTGTACTATCCTGGCTCTGTGCGGGCGAGCGTTATCATTCAGAAATCTGAAATTGGGCTCCAAATTCCAAGGATAATCATCCACAATGTTATCAATGATGTCGTGAGCATAAATTTCACTTGTCATACCTTCACAAACATAAAACTCCGTTCGACCTCCGTAGAAAATTCCAACCCAGACTATTACACCTCCACCTCCAAATGGATGCACTTCTTCAACATACCGGTCATTAACTGTTGAATTTCTTGGTCCCCAGACACAAACTGTAATTCTGTCAGCACGAAGACCAAAGCGGCTTTCATCGCTGAACATCACAGTACGCCACTCATCATTCCAGTTCGCTCTTTTATTACACCAAAGCAAACGTTGAGCTATATGGACTGCAATCAATGGAGGGCGTCTTATAGGCCTATAGCAATGTAAACCTGCTTCATTTAATCGATTTAAAACCGCCCTAGGGGTAATACGAACTCTATTTGCAGCGATTATCGTAGGAATTTGGAGCCCAATTTCAGATTTCTGGATGATAACGCTCGCCCGCACAGAGCCAGGGTAGTACAAAAACGGCTAGCATTCCATGAAATTAATCATTTGCTATTACCAACGCTCTCTCCAGATTTAAACTGCATCGAACATGGTTGGGACATGCTCGGAAGGGCACTAATCAGGACGTAAGTTCACTGAGGCAAGTTCTTCCATATTTATGGGATACCTTGAATCAAAATGACTTGGATAGTTTAATTTTAAGCATGCCTCGCCGAGTTGAAGCAGTAATAGCCAACAGAGGTGGAATTACACGCTATTAATCATTTTTTTCTTTTTGATAATTATCGGTTTTGTTACATTGTAAGAGAAAAGTTGCCTGTAAATTCTAATTAAAATATTTTTTCAGTTAAACAAATGTGTTTTATTTCTAAAAGAGATGAGAGTAAATGTACGTTATACAAATTTTTTTGAAAACTATTTTTTTCTCAGAGAATTCACAATATCCTTAACTTTTTTCGATCAGTTTATTTAAAAAAAATGAAAATTTTGTTGTTTAAAATATTGAAGAATATAGAATACTAACAAAATCAATATTTCTCAATAGGAATTGTGTGATAATAAAAAAGAAAACCCATATTAAAAATATAGAGTAATTAACAAACAAAATATAATATAAAAAACTTGATAAATCTATTAATCTATATTAAAAACAAAAAAAATCAAATTTTTTATAAAAATATAAGTAAATAATAAACCCCTGAAAAAATGTAAAAAATTAAATCCCCCTTTTTAAAATAAAAAATTACCCGTTTTATATCGTTTCCTATTGGTCGGACAAAAAAGTGTTAAAACAAAAAATCGTCAACATATTTACCTGTAAATTTCTGTCAACCATCCAATTCACTTCGAAATCGTCGTCGTCATCGCCAAAAGGATTAATCAAGGTTTCTGCCACCTTCAGCCAGCCCACATAGAAAAAAAATTGAAGGCAAGAAAAAAACGGAAAATACAAATCAAACTTGTATTTCGTGGTATAAACCCATTGATGGCCCATCAAGGTGGTGGCGAAATAACTGTAAACCGCCAGTGTAACGACCTAAAATTATTTCAAGCTATTAATGGAGTTCCGCAGGGACTCCTTTCGGGACCGTTTCTTTTTCACCAATCATTAACAATATCACGAATTCTTGCTTACCTGCGTATATACGAGCGGCACACTGATATTATCGTAGCTCAAAAGTAGTCCACATTGTCCCCTAAACTTATTTAACTCATCTATCATAGTTTTTACGGCGAAATCGTCGCGTATCCTTCCCTCTTTGCGGGCCCTTGTTATTATACTGGCCGCCCAAACTATTGGCATCCTAAAAATAGTTTTTTGGTGGAACTTGCATACTATTTTAATCGTTTATTTGACTTTTTACATTTCAAAAAGAATCTAGAACAATGAACCTATCAAATGGATAAACATGACACAAATTTGTATCGAAATATTTCCCAGTTAATTATTAATCCATTAGATAAACCGTGGATAAGGATTTCATTAGAGAATGAGGTTAATTTTGGTTTATTAAAAATTTACATGTATGTACTTTAAATTGTAATGTCTAGTAACATTAAATATTTATTTTTATGCAATAAAAATCTGGAACATTTATTTATATAGGTATCGTATGATATTTATTTAGAGTTTATATTTTAAAAATATGTATACCTGTATTATCCAAAGGAAATGGGTTATTTATTTTAATAAATGGTTGCCAAAAATTTTAATGAACGTCATAATTTATCATTTCAGCGGTTTAATTAATTATGTAATGAAACTCATCTGTTAATCATAGCGTAAAATTGATCCCCAATGGCATTGATTTTTATCTTTAATTAACTTAAACGGTTTTAATGATTTCGCAGAATTTACACGATAACTGCCAATTTAGTATTAATTAAAATATTTCGAAATAAACTATTCAAAAAAATGGGAAATTTGTATTTTCGCACAAAAATAGTCGAAAATAATTTTTTTGATGAAAATTCTATAAAAGTAGAAATAACAATACGGTTTCAAATACTATTTAAGCAGTTATAAACCTTAAGTGCAACATAATGTTGACTATTATTACCACTTTGTTTAACTTGATGTAATCACTAGTTACAGTTTACATTTAATATGTAAGAATTTATTTTAACGCGCCAAGGTTAGAAAAAATACTAAACACGTTATTATTATCTGTTGCGGTTTATATCAAACATAACAATTGGACAAACAAAAAAGGATTTCACTGATAATTTAAATTAGATTTTAGCGGTTTTTAAACAACATGTGGAATATTAATTTAAAATTTACATAAACATTATAAATTATGTTTATTATTTAAGAAGCTATGAGAAAATGTTGAAAAATTTCTAGGTTATAGTAGAGACTACTTAAAAGATATTTAAAAAATTTACATCGATTTATTATTGTCATGTTATAAGATATGCGTTAATTAAAAACATCTCCTATGCAGCCCATGTCTTTAATTAATGCATATCTTCTAACGTGACATTAAAAAATTATTTTTTTTCTCGTATGCACTTTCATTGTTCATTTTTTTTATCTGGACTGCGGCAACGTTGCAAATTTAGGGTTGGTAAATACAGTTGTCATGTTGGTCGCATTGATTAAAACAAACTAAGCTAGTTATAAATCTAATTGTGGTTATGTATAAATTATTGTGGGTTACATTGTGCAGTTTTCAAGTTGAGTTGTCGAAATTCGAAGTTAAAAATGCAATTAAATTGGCTTTGGTGGTGCTTGGATGAGTAAAATCATATAAAAAAAGTAGTTAAATATAGGTTGCTTTACGGCCCAGAAGAGAAAGTATTCCTAGCGGATAATAATCATCGCTTTGAAAAGAATTTATATAAAAGAAATTAAAATTTTTTGTGAACGTAAATGTTGTCCAATGGTGAATAATGTGAAAATAATGCGTGATGTAATATTCATAAAACCAAATTCGTTACTTTTTTACTCCAAAAATGTCCATAAGGCGATGTACTTTTTCTTCCATTGTGCATTTGGCATAATTTCATCAAAATGAAGTTTTGCCCCCAAAAGGGCTTTAACATTCGAATTCGTTGCTATTATTTTTGGCATAATTACCTTTTTATTTATAATTGACAAGTAAATTATCAATAATAAATATTATTGTCAATTTGACAGTGTCAAAGTATTTAATTAAATTCTTTAGCAGAATTCTTAAGTAGCATTTTTAAATACTAAAAATGCAAGTCAAACTGGCATAAGCCACCAACCTAACAAAAAAACACTAGTCCAGATAAAAAAAATGAACTGTATAAGTTCCTTTAGTATTAAAATAAAAAATAATCATAAAATCATTTAGAAAATTGGCTGTTGCAAACTTAATAAAATGACAAAGTAAATTTTGTTTTTGCAAGTTGGTACATATCGCTATTATTTGAAAATAAAGTTTTTTACATCACCAATTATCTAAATTGTAAAACATTTCTGTAGTAACGGAATTAAAATTATTGCTTTTACGTTTTAGCGTTATTAAGCAAAAAAAATTACGAAATTTTATGCCGCCAATTTGACAACTACAAGACAATTTTCACACGCAAGTGAATCTTACCAGTGTTTTGAGTAGTGCGGGAACTTGTCGTTGAGATCCTTGATGACGTGCAGCTCGCTGGGTTGCAAAAGACCAGCGTCCACGAAATGTTCCAGGGTGGGAAAACGTTTTTTCACCCTCGGCGAGATCATGGTGAAAGTCATCGTCACGCAGAGGCAGACGTAACGCATAATCGAACGTCTCATCACGCGGCCTCTTTCGTCCTGAAACGAAGTTTCGACTAATTTTTATAGAAAAACGATTATTTGTTTCTTAAGGTGGTATCACCATTTGAAGAGTTTGATCATGGAGCCTACACAAGGAGCCCGAACTTCATGTAAACAAGAATCTTCCTTAGATAAGAGGGCGCTGGTGTACTACCGGTCCAAAACAGTAGAGGGGTGTAACCAGAGATGGCGCCACTACCTACCACTTATTATTGTGCAAATAATTGAGGTTATGCAACTGTCAGTTTATCATTTTCTGAAAACAATGTACCCATGTACCTGGTTTTGTGTATAAAGGTCTTAATTTACAATAAATTAATATCAAATTTAACATTGGAATTCATGTTGGACTTTCTGATGTAGAGCACAGTTTTTTTTATAAATACGTGTTTTTTTCTATAATAGAATGTCGTGTGATCAGGGCCGGATTTACCATTCTTGCCGCCCCTGGGCAGTCATGATCTTGCCGCCCATTTTATCAAAGCTACGAATTCGTCGAAAAAAAAACAAACAACGAATTTAACATCAGTTTACATCAATGTTTTTATTTTTTACACATTATCTTATACAAATATGATTGTTGGAAACTAACCATACAGTAATACAGTAATCTCGATTATATCTTGGAAATATTGATTCAAAACCTGGACAGCGTCATCACAAGCAGACCACCTAGTAGTGGACAAAGATGCTAATGTTATTAATTTGGTTTTCTCAGTGGACCTCAAAATTTCCCACCGATGTGTTGACGTAGTAAAGAAGTTGTACAATGATTGAACAACGTTGAAAAATGATATTTTAGACCATATTCCGCCATCCGATGATAGAATATTTCATTATGTAAGAGTTTAAGGAATATATGCAATTCCACATTAAAAAGTGGTATTATATAATTACATTGTATTATATTCCGTAATAGCAGTAGAAAAAGACTGTTCCAGACTGTTCTGTTTACATAGTACCACATAGTACATACACGGTAATGTAATATTTGGCAGCACTACACTAGATAAAATTATTATAAGTACGACACAATATGGCAGCCACGGGGGAGGCGCCGCGTCGGGCGGAGCCAAAATTCAAATTTCCACTGCGCAATGTATAGTGTGAGATAAACTGAGTTAAGTTGATGAATTTTTTTCTAGAAAAATCGCCCTGTAAAATCATACATTTAGTTATATGAGGAGTTGGGATTTAACAAATAGGTGATTGTTTTAGCTTTCGCTAATATTCTCAGACTATAATGATATCTTCGTAACCAAATTTTAATGTTTCGGAAAATATGAATCTTTCCACCAAAATTTGCCGCCCCAAAAATTTGCCGCCCTGGGCAGTTGCCCAAAGTGCCCATGATTAAATCCGGCCCTGCGTGTGATGTTAAATCGTGTAAAACGAACAGAATATTAAATCCATATGGTATTTATTTTTAGATGGCTTAAATAAAAGTTCAATATAAACAAATAAAGGTAGAAATTATTAAATATGCTGTTTACTCATTTTCTACATACTTTTTTATTTAAGTTTAACAAAAGTTTTGCAAATACTATAAAATATTTAAAATATATCAAACCCATGACAGTTTTAGTACATTGTTTAAAGACATTTTGCAAAGCTTCAGTCTATCTTACGTAATACATAATGTCACATTTTATACACACTTTAATATTTTTCATTTATGACGCTTATATTACACCTTTTTATAGCACATTTTTTGTACAGTTTTAGCGATCACTCAACAGTTTAAGCACATTTTAAATATATCTCGCTTGAGTTGGGGTACAACATTTATTTAAAAGGTGAGGTAGATTCCATCTTATGTATCGCTTCTCGGCCTATTGCTAACGTACAGCCATAAAAAACAAAACGATTCGTACATCAAAACATTATTGCAAATCAATTGTCAAAACTTACTTGCTTACTTCACAACATAGACACATGACACATGTCATGTATTTTCGATACTATATTCACGTCATTCGGACGCATCAACAAGCAGCGCCGCTGGTGGTGAAAAAAAAAGACTTAAATTGTGCAATTTAGTGGACAGATTTTGTCAATTTTCCCTATTAAGTTCGGGCTCCTTGTGTAGGCTCCATGAGTTTGATAAATAAACAATAGCAGGCCGTGACAAGGATTCAGCAGTGCCAATGTAGTAAAAATAAAACGTTGTATTTTCATTATCAAATTTATACTTAAATACAAATTAAAGTATCATTAAAAACTAAAAACAACGTTAAAAGTAAATAAGTAGCAACATAAATTGTTCATTTGTTGTTATAATGGCAAAATTAAGGTTTAAAACTGTCATATTTTTGAGTTTCTAAAGTTGGCAGCACAGTTTAAAATGACAAATTTAATATATGCTACAAAAATTGTTTTTTTAGATTTTCATAAAAAATATACTGTATAATAATACATTTTATCTACTTCTATTGCATAATATTGGGATTTTTGGGATCCCAATATTATGCAATAGAAGTAGATAAAATGTATTATTAATAACTAATGATAAACATTATAAATTCCCTGCCTAACAACCTTATTATTATTCAGGTTGTTAGGCAACAGTGATTGGCCGATTTTAATTGAGGTGGGGTTAACTATTTGACATATGTCATATTTTATTTATTTATTTAAAAAAATCATTTAATTTATTAGGATTACACTTGAGATTATGCCCATTATTTACTCCGAACCTCCTTGTGAATTATTATTATTCACAAGCATTATCTCTCATATACTAATATACTATTTAACCAATCAACACGTTGCTCGAATTTAATAACGAATTTTTAAAAGTGTTATTTTTCACAGATTTCCCATACAGAAAATATTTCAAAAATTCGTTTCCAAACTCAAGAAACACAATGGCATTGTTTTAAAAATTAGGTTAAAAATTGATTATTTAGTATATTTTTTATCGAAATCTTACGAGCGAGATACAAAATAAAAAAGCGCGTATAAAAACAAATTTAACTAAAAGTAGATTTGACATTAATTATTCAAGTAAATTTTAAATATTACACACCAGATTTTAAATACAGCATTAAAATGTTTCTGTTTATTTCTTAAGAAGAATGAATGGTTGGGCAAACATAAATAAGTTACTTAAGTACCTATAAACAAAGTTTTTGTAACCAATTCGTAGAGACCGGACTTTTAAACCAAACGTTTTTTATTTTAAATTTAATTTTGTTAAAAATTAGTTTTATGAGGTTAAAAGTTTCAATATTTCAATTAATAAATTAAATTTTATCCGAAAATTTGAATGAATATATGTACAAGTCTAACGTCTTTAAAAAATGGTAATTTCATTCTTAAAATCCGGTTTCTAAAAACGAATGTGTAATGTTTAAATTTACCAAAACAAATATAAAAATGTATGAGCAATATTTAATTTTATTTTGGCGACATTTTATACCCATAAAATTATCAAGATTAATCATATAATCTTTAATTTATACAACCACTTATGTAGGTATTATTATTTAACATATTTTATTGATCAAATATCACAGACACATGCAAAAAACTTCACTCATTAAGTAAAGTTATACTTTTGACTGATATACCTACATAATAACTGTAATTAAAGTAATTATGTTATTATTTCCTTTCAAACAAATTATATTCTTACCTGTCCATGTATAGTAGCACTAACAAAAACTGCTAAAGGGTCAGGAAAAGGTATGGCAGTATATTGACTCCACCAACGGGTCATTACCACAGAAACATAAAAACCTAATACAAAAGATATTGGAATAAGGGCTGCATAATGATCACAGTATTGCTGAACACTTTCAAATATTCTAAAAGAAAATAATAATGTTTTTAATGAGGATTACAAGGTTATGGATATTTTGAGGGTACCTCATTCCATAGTCCGGCAAAACAAATCTGTATGTTATGTTTAGGGAATAATATAACGCTAGGTATATTAGTAAATCCATCCATACTAGTTTGTAGATACTGCCCTTCCATCTGAAAGAAGATTTTATTATTTTATTTTAGTTTATTATGTACTTCAATAAAAAGAATATAATAATTTTTCAAAAATTCATTTTTAATCAAAGTTATTACCTTTAAAGTAAAATATTTAAAAAAGTGAGGTTTAAACCGTTTGACACTTGTCAGATTGGGAAAAAGTGAGGTTAAACTTGTCTGATAGATGTAATATTGGTAAAAAATGAGATTAAAACCGCTTGTCCGATGTCAGATAAAATGTTAACTAAATTATCTTTACATATTCTTAGTTATCAAACCCTTAAGAATTCAAGAATTCTCGACAAAATTATTATTTTCTTCTTTGTAACCCTGTATATCTTTCTTTAATGAAAGAAAGCATTTGAATAATAGAAATGAAATCAATAAAACCAAACATGCAATTATAGTATTAGGTAGAGTTTAATGACTTACCTTCTTAACAATTTTAAAAAACACCCCAGTCTTTTACACGTAGCAACTTGTGCCGTATAAGTTATAGTCATTGTTACACAATTAATTCAAATAAATAATAAAAAACTACACACTGTATCACCGGATCATTTTGAAATTAAATAAATAAAGCACCAACACAAAGAGATTGTGAATGAGACATCTACTGTTTTAAGAGTAAATGATTCATAGTTGTCATCTGTCTTTAACTATTAATATACACTTCTCGGTAAAAAAGATCGTAGAATTTTACGAATTTATGACACCGACACATCCATAACCCACCTCACTCCACGAACTGTTCATAAACATATGATTTTTGAACGAAGTTTAGCGAAAGTGATCGTTTGAACTACTAACGGTAAAATAACATAGACAACCCAGATTACTGTTGGTTGCATAGTATTTGCATACCTACATTTAAATTACTCACAGACGTGACTTCTTGCTTTACCTGAACTGCTTATGTTCTGTGCTGCCAACGTAATAATCCTAGACCAAACCAGGTCTAGGGTAATAATAATAATATCAATAGTGTCCCATTTTATTTTTTATTTACCTTTATGGTAAGGCAATTTGTTGCATTTATTCGAATAATTGTAATTAAAGGCTTTCAGAATAAGCGGGAGGTAGAAATTAGTAAAACCTTGTCGTGGATTTTACGCCATGGTGCTGTTAAGTTAGGATTGCAAATAAATAAAGAAGGTTATGTACCTGTCAACGATATATTAACGCATCAACAATTTAAGGATAAATTTAATATAGAAGATATTAAACGTATAGTGGATAATAATGGTAAACAAAGATTTACTATCAAAGATGTTCAAGGTGATTTTTTAATCAAGGCCAATCAGGGACACTCGCTACAGGTAGATATTTATTAAATTAACTTTAACATCCATTATAAAACTATTTGTAGGAAGTTAATAATCTTGGTTTGATCCCCATAACCAAAGTTAACTTTGAGGTTATACACGGAACAAACTTTAAAGCTTGGAATGTAATTAAAAATGTAGGTTTGTCATGTATGACAAGAAATCATATACATTTCGCTAAAGGTCTTCCGAAAGACAAATCTGTTATAAGTGGCATGAGAAGTAATGCCGAAGTTTATATTTACATAAACCTTGAACTAGCATTGAAGGATAAAATACAATTTTTTTTGTCTGAAAACCAAGTCATTTTGAGCCCTGGTAACCTAGAGGGATTAATCGAGCCAAAATATTTTTTAAAGGTTGTTACCCCAAGTGGGGTGATATTGTAAGCTCAATTTTAAAAATGGCAGCTGTAAGGGCAAAAGATAATTTGGAACATTTTCAGTGTGAAGTTTGTAAATTGACTTTGAGTGGGAAAATTAATATTGAGGCGCATTTAAACGGGCAAAAACATAAGAAAAATGAGGTTAGGCAGCAGCAAGCAGTCAGGGAGAAGGAGAAGTTGGACTGTGGATTATTTATTACAGGTAAGGATTTTTTTAAATTAAATATTCAGTCAAATATAATAATATTACTATGCTCACACCCAAAAGTCCCACTTTGACATTTGAATACAAATAATTGAGGTTATCTATCTGTCAGTTTAACGCTAATTTCGTCTTATTTTCTAAAAATATTAAGATTTATGCAATTTTTGTCTATAAAGGTCTTAATTTAATACGAAATTAGCGTTAAACTGACAGATACATAACCTCAATTATTTAACTGCGTTCCTTATTTAAATGTCAGTGGAACTTTGATGAGCATCTATTATTTACATAATTTTTTTATATTTGCATTTGGATATTTAGATTTCTCCAAATTTTGTGTGGACCTTTTTATATTTATTTCGTTTTTTTTCAAAATTTTTAAGTTTCTGACAGTTTTTTATAGTTTTAATACCTGTTTAATTTTATTGATTATAGATAAAAAAATTATAAATAGTAATTTTCAAGTTATTAAGGATTTAATTTGACAACACTGTATTTCATAAGCTGAAATAGTTTTAACATCTGTTTAATTTTATTGATTATAGATAAAAAAATTATAAATAGTAATTTTCAAGTTATTAAGGATTTAATTTGACAACACTGTATTTCATAAGCTGAAATAGTACACATCTGAAAACAATTTAAATAAGGTTGACAGATGTATTTTGTTTTTGAAACGTCAATAGAAAAATCATTTTTGCTATAAAATTTATATTTTAAACTGTCGAAAAAAAACGGAAAAATTAGGGAAAAAACTGTTTTTTTTTTCGTTGTTTCCCAGACCATGGAAAAATTGTTTTTTTTTCAAAATATTCACATTTTAAAAAAGTAGCAAACAACTTAACAATATTTTAATTTAAAAAAATATCCTTTATTACAGAAAAAAACCTAAATTGAATTGAATTGAATTAATTTGATTTAATTAATTTATATTAAGAAAATAAAAGTAAACGTTGGGTCTTTTTTGTAAAAAGAAGTCCATTGAAAATATTCAATGAAAGTACAAAATTATAATTTTATAAGTCGAATTGTCAAATAAAACAAAAATTAATACAGCACCAAATATGTTTTTTTGGGTAGAATCTTACTGAATTAAAATTAAAGGAATAATTGGTATATTCATCATAATATTATATGATTATATTTAGCGTCGAAAAATCACTCTTTTCTTGATATCAGTGTACGGATATTAACCGTAAAAATTTGTAAATTTTTAAAAATATTGACTTTCGTTTTTTTGCATCACCTTTTAATTAAAAAGAACAAATGCAAAAGTCAATTTTTCCGTTCTTTTTCGGGAAAAACGGTCTTTTTCTTCCGGCTCATTTTTTTCGGAAATTTTAACTCCTACTGTTAGTGCCGATTCATATTTTGAGCTGAAACCTTGAGAAACTTATTTATTTTCCGCGTACAAAAATGTCAAGCTGATTAAGTAACATATTTTCACCTAATATACATGACTATGAACAACAAACATTTTTAGGGTTTTCTTTGCCAATAAATCAAAAACTGGCCCTGGACCATTTCGCAAAGTTCGGTAACATTATGACGACGTTTTTCAGCGGTACATATTTATTGTTGGAATACTCAAAATCCGCCGAAGCTGAAATGGCATTAAAATCCGAACACAACCTACAAGGTAAAAAATTGATTGTCAACAAAAGAAAAAGCAAAGAAGCTCAAGGTAACTATACTTTATAGGGATAGCTTCTCTTTAATTTAAGTAATAAAAAAATTTTAGTGATACAGGAAGAAAAAAACGATCCGCAACTGCTGCCCCAAATAGAGAACGTCGCAAGTTTTGACCAGCAACTGCAAATTTTAATGAGGACGTTGCAACCAAATTTAGAGGCGGAATTCGCGAAATACCATCAAATCTGCATCGACTTGAAGCAGGCGTTGGTTCATTTTTTCCCGCAATGTTTGATTTACCCGTTCGGATCGACAATATCGGGGGTGTGTTTCAATTTGAGCGACGTCGACGTGTACGTGGAAAACATGAGGTTCAACTCGGAAAAAGACGTCAAGTGTTTGTTCAAGGCCAAGTCTGCGCTGGCCAGATCGCGCAGATTCGCCAACATTATCGTGATACCGAAGGCGAAAATTCCGATTTTGAAAACGGTGCACGTGCGGACCAAAATAAACGTCGATATAAATTGCAAGAACATGCTGGGGGTGTTTAATTCGCAACTCATCAAGTACTACATTGATGTTGATAGCAAAAGGGTTAAGCCGTTGATTATGGCGATCAAATATTGGGCTAAAGTGCAAAAAATTACGGGGAGTAACCATTTGATCACCAATTACTCGTTGTGTATGTTGATTATTTTCTACTTGCAACAGCACTTTTCCATACCGTCTGTAAGAGAGCTGCAAAGGGACCCAAGCGTGAGGCATTTGCAAAACGGTTGGAATGGTGCTTTCACGCCAATACATTGCAGCAATCCCTTGGGAAACGCGACAACCTTGGAGTTATTGAAGGGATTCTTCACGTATTATTCCACGTTTAAGTACAAATCACACATAATATGCCCATACTTGGGGAAATGCCTGGAGAAAAGCACGTTCGAAAAAATCGAGACGGTGCCGAAAGATTTCACTCACTACCGAAAAATCGCCTCCACCGAGGGAGAATCACTGAAAATAGACAGCGCCATATGTCTTCAAGACCCCTTCGAACACAACCGCAACACAATGTCGCAAATAACCCCCGTAACGCTGAGCGTGTTCACCATGTATTGCAGCTTAGCTGCGACTATATGCGCCGAAGGAGAAACCAACTTGCTGCACAAATTGTTCACCCAAAAACCCGAAGGTTTCACCACTCTTAGCAACACCGACGAACAAGCTGAGTTTTCCTTGCACAAAAAAGGGAACCCAGCTTACCTACCCGAACTTAACCCTATGGAGATTAACGCCGCTTGGTTCAAAGTGATCGTGAACTATACGAAAACGGTCTTCAGAGATTTGCTGTTGTTTTCGATGGAGGAAATCTGCGAACCCCCCACGCCGAGTAAAGTCACAAAACAAGAAGGACAAGACGATGTTCATACAAACTCGAATTTTGCGGAGAAAATTGTTTTCAAATGCGAAGGAAAGTTCGATACGTGGACTGTACGTAAAAATATCGCGAGGACGGTAGCTTCAACTAAAACCACGTTTCTCGAAAAGGAATTAGAATTGACTGAACATCTAAAAAACATTTACAAAGGTATAGAAAATAGTTCAGAATTAATAGGGTTTCAGTTAAGTATAATTTGCAAAAACGAGCCGTGTTCGGTAACTATACAAATACAAAAATCGTTTTCGCATAAAAAAATATTCAAAACTTTCACGCAGTTTATAACCAGTAAATTTCCCCATTGGTTTAGTTTTTATGAGGGCGACTTGCTTCAAAGAAAAATTACTTTCAGCAAGTTAAACGATATTCTTTTGACAAATAATTGATATTTTTAATGTAAAGTAATGATATACTTTATGAAATTGTATATATAATATTATACACAAAATTCTTTTATGATTATAATTTTTTTAAGAACTAAATATTTTTTGGTTTTGTGCACGTATATAAGTTGTACCTAAATACTTTTTAAAATAAAAAACTGTTACATAATACTATGTAATAAATGTTGCAACTTTTAACCCTTGTTTTATTCTCCACACAATATAACTAAAATAAATGCTTATTAAGAGTTTATTAAAGCCAACAAATTAGTATAAAATACAGATTCATTAATCACAAAGTTGAAGTAAAAAATTTCTCTAATAAAATAAATTAACTTATATAATCTTTCTGCAGTAAAATACTTTTATATATTTAAGTTAAACTTGAAATATTTTCAACTGACATGGACTTTATAATATCTCTAGATCACAGTGCCTTATTTCCGGATGTTTTTTCTAAAAAGAAACTCGACATTTTAGATTTTTTTTGGCTGGGGATAAAAATATTTGTACTTACCCTTAATTTCATTTCTATCCTATCTATTTCACCACCCATCATGTCGACAATATTTTCCCCATGACATAACATGAATTCCTCCAACTTGTCTATGTTTTCCAGTTTTTTTATTTCCTGTAAACAAACACAGTTGAAGTAAAACTTTTTTGGGGCATTTAAATTGAGTTCGTGTTTTGTTTTTATTTAATCAATATTCATTATGTACCCATGTTTAGGTTTCCTTGAAGAGTACAATATTTATGTGTGAATTTGTTCTACTATTTTTTTAACTTTGTACCACTGTGCGAATTTGTCCTACCATTTTTTAATTTTGAACCATTGTGCGAATTAATTAATGTATACATCTAAATAAGACGCATACCAAATGGTCCTACCATTTTAAATATTAAATATAATAAATATTATACTCCTGTGCGATTTTTTTTTAATTTTAATTAATTTAACTACAGTTCTAATACAACGCTTTTTTCAGCATTCAAGCTTAAAATTAAAAAAATTATGAAATTTTAAGTTTTAAAATTTTAGATTTTTTTAAAAATATGTCCCACCATTATTTATAAATATTATTCTACTGTGCGATTTTTTTCACAATCTTTAAAATTCAAAAAATAGTACATTTTAAGAAGTTTTAAAATTTAAATTAAAAAAATTAAATTTTGAAAATTTGTCCCATTATTTATAATTATTATAGTTTAAAATTTAAATTTAAAAAAATAATAATAATTATTACTATGTGCAACTTTTTTCACAATCTTTAAAATTAAAAATTTAGTACATTTTAAGAAGTTTTAAAATTTAAATTTAAAAAAGTAAATTTTGAAAATTTGTCCCATTATTTATAATTATTATAGTTTAAAATTTAAATTTAAAAAAAAATTAAATTTTGAAAATTTGTGCCATTATTTATAATTATTACTAATGTGCGACTTTTTTCACAATCTTTAAAATTGAAAAGTTTAGTACATTTTAGGAAGTTTTAAAATTTAAAAATTAAATTTTGAAAATTTGTCCCATTATTTATAATTATTATACTAATGTGCGATTTTTTTACAATATTTAAAATTTAAAAATTTAGGTTTTTAAAATTTTATAATTATTATGTTACTGTGCGACTTTTCCACAATCTTTAAATTCAAAAATTTAGGAAATTTAAAGTTTTGAAAATTTGTCCCACCATTATTTATAATTATTTTACTATTTTGCGATTTTTGTCACAATTATCAAATTCTTAAGTACAGTGAATTTGTCCTGCTATTTTTTCATTTAGAACCACCGTACGAATTTGTCCTACCATTTTTTAATTTTGAACCACTGTGCGAATTATTGTATATATCTAAATAAGACGCAGGCCAAATTGTCTTACCATTTTAAATATGAAATTAAATGACATTTTTTTTAATTTTAGGTACTGTGCCAATTTTGTTCGAATATTCCATTTTTTTCAGCTTTTAAGCTTAAAATTCACAAATTTGAAATGGTTTTGAAATTTAAAAAAAAAAATAAGTTTTTAATAAATTTTGAAAGTTTGTCCCACCATTATTTATTATTATATACTACTGTGCGAATTTTTTCTCCAAATCTTTAATATTCAATATTTTTTTTAAATTTTAAAATTTAAAAATTAGTCCCACCATTATTTATAATTATAATACTACTTTGCGATTTTTTTAATCTTTAAAATTAAAAAAATTTGAAAATTTTATAAAGTTTTGAAATTTTTAAAATTTTGAAAATTTGTCCGACCATTATTTATTATTATATACTACTGTGAGATTTTTTTCTCCAAATCTTTAATATTCAATAATTTTTAAAAATTAAAAAGTTTGTCCCACCATTATTTATAATTATTATACTACTTTGCGATTTTTTTTAATCTTTAAAATTAAAAAATTTTGGAAATTTTAAAGTTTTAAAAATTTGTCCGGCCAATAATTATTATTATGTACTACTGTGCGATTTTCCAAATCTTAAATATTCAATAATTTTTAAAATTTGTCCCACCATTATTTATAATTATTATACTACTGTGCGATTTTTTTTTAATCTTTAAAATTAAAAAAAATTAGGAAATTTTAAAAAAATTTGAAATTTTTAAAATTTTGAAAATTTGTCCGACCATTATTTATAATTATTATACTACCGTGCGATTTTTTTTTTAATCTTTAAAATACAAAAATTTTAAAGTTTTAAATTTTAAAATTTGTCCCACTAATTTTTAAAATTATTATACTACAGTGCGATTTTTGCCACAATAATTATTGTTAAATTCTTAAGTACTGTGTGAATTTGTTTGAAGTACTGTGCGAATTTTGTTCGAATATTCTCATACGACGCGGACATGACCGCTTTTTGAGCTTTCAGGCCAAACATTCAAAAATGTAGAAAATTTAAAGAAGTTTTAAAATTTTGAAAATTTGCTTTACCATTATTTATAATTATTATACTACTGTGCGAGATTCGACATATGTATATTTGAGCTTTTTTGTGAAAAACTGAATGTACTACAAATACATTTGTGTTTTTACTAAAATTTGTGTTTTCTTTGCAAAAATGCCAAAACTATGCTTGATTGGATTAATAAATGAACGGATGCTTTTTTTACGTTACATCTCTAAATACGAGGCAGGCAGGAAATTTAAAAAAACATGATTTTTTAATTTCAAACTACTGTGCGCCAAGTTCAAATTTACCCCGTCCGCACCTGTGTAAAAACTACAGACCACCAAAACAAATGGACGGATTGGTTTACATTTAAAAAGCGAATAAAGCATACTTTCACATTCTAAACACCGTCGAAAGAAACAAGGCTTCCAACGTTGTCAGAAGTATAGATTACACGCCTTTTTGGACGTTCATCTTCATAATGAACATTAAAAATTACCAGTAATTCGTTTGAATAATAAAAAAATTGTAAAAAGGATGTGTTCATCATTTTCTTTAGATATTTTTCTCTATATAAAGAAAATTATTATTAAATAATTATTAAAATTAAATATTAACAACGTTGATAAATTCGTCATATTGACAGCATAGAAAAAGGTTGACAGCTTGTTGTTTTGTGTTTTATAATCTGTGGTTTTCGTTTGTGTATTTCTATCGTGTTTTATTGAGTTTAAATACATTATTTTTTACTAAAAATGGTGCGACAGTGTACTGTTTGTAAAAAAACAAACCAAAGAAATCCAAATCTATCCTTTCATAGGTAAGTAAGCAAAGTTTACATATCATACGTCAATGGAAGAAAACATAAAATTCTATATCCAATTTAACGCTTAGACTGTGACCGTTTGTCGACGTCACTGAAAGAAAACATAAAATTCTATCTCCAATTTGACGCTTAGACTGTGACCGTTTGTTGACCGCAAACAAAGCATTGTTATTGAATGGTAATGCGCCGTCCATTTGTTTTGGTGGTCTGTGGTAAAAACCGCACAAAACCGCTCACCTCGAGCAACTCGTTCAAATCCTGCTTATCCAAGTAGGCCCTGGTGAGTTCCCTGCCGTCGAAATCCAGCTCGGCCTTGTACCGCACCAAATAGCTGCCCATGTCGATCCCCTTGACGTCGTGTATGGCCCTGATCATCACGTCCGTCTCCAGCTCGGCGTTGATCCTGTTCAGGTTCTCCTCCGGTATGGATCGGCCGACCAGCGCGGCAACGTTGGTGTAGATTATGAAGCTGGCAACGCTGCCCAGGATGCAGCCCACCAGCAGCGAGCCCATGGCGTCCGGGATGGGGCTGTTCGTCAGCGAGGAGATGCCCATGCAACCTCCCGCCAGAATTACGCCGACTACGGCAGCGAAATCTTCGAGCAGCACGACGTTGACGCTCGGGTCTTGACCCCTGAAAACTGAAAGAAAATATATTTCTGCCAGGCAGTGTTGGCAACACAAAATCTTTCCAGGAGGTAGATATCATTTTAAGAGTTGGTAGTTTCCAACAAATCTTACTTTGAAAAGTATTCTAGAGACTAAAGTAAAAAATCTGGCTATTTTGAATATTGGCAATTTGTAATTCTGCTTTTTCATTGTTTTTTTTTATCAAAATACTTGAAATATTTTTTATCCATCAAAAAATAAATTCAGAGTGCCAGATTTTTTACTTTAGACTCTCTAGAATACTCCAAATATATAGGTGGTAGATCTACTTTTCTAGCTAACTTTTTTCTATAGAAAAAAGTCAAAAATTGAAGAACGAATTATGATAATTATAAAATTATAAATATGCACTTGGGTTGAATAATAAATTAAATATTTTGATTGAATAATTTATAATGTTCTTCAGTAGGTGTAGTATTCAGCACTTTTGTTGATAAATGGTGTCTAACGCATAGCTATGAAATTCGGTAAATGTTCAAAGATGGAAAATTTCAGAAATCTTCAAATAAGTGATTTTGATGCAACTTTAAGATTTGGGAAAAAATGTTACGTTTACAATTGAGCGTGTGGGCCCAGACACTGCATTTTTTGGCGAAAAAAATATATACTCTTTACTTTATTTGCAAAACAAGTGCAATATAATATGGCAACACATGTTTTCTAAATTTTTTAACTTCTTGAGGATCAATACTTGAACATTTCGTTAAAAACAAATCAACCTGAGCACCGCAGTATATTTTGTCAGAACATTGACGTCTTAGGGTCAGAGCCTTTGTACAATTTGCTTATGTTGCCTTATTTCCGTATCAAGTGTCAACTTTCTTTAGTCACGGGCTGAAGTTAGTTTTAAGTTAGTTGACAGTTGTCAAATGTCATACAATCGTTAAAATAAAGCGTCTTTCTTGTAAAATACTATTAAATGTGAAAATTATTTTATTATTTCAATACCAAAATACAAAATACAGTTTCTTGCGTACAGTGCCCATAAAACATTCTCTTCTTTTAATGTGAAAAACTGCTTCTATATCGATTGTAAGTCTATTTTCAAGGGATAAATTTTGATTTACTCAGAAAAATTTGAGATTTTAAGGCCGGTTGACTCCCAAGTTAGAAATTCTAACGGGAATTTCAATAAAAACTTTTTGTACCTTTAACATTTCCCGTGCAAGAATTTTTAATACTTGTGATAATATTTTGCAATTATAAAGGGTGTCCAATTAGGTACGCTCGATGTTTGATAGGCGGCTATGGCTAAGTCAGTACAGACACAGCTGTCAAATATTTTGAAGTTTTGTTGGCATATTATGACATTTGATAATGGAGCGTTACACGGTTGCTCAACGCATTCAAACGTTTCAACGGCGTCATTTCACGCGGCGGCGTTATCCAGTGGCCAACGAGATCATGCGATCTAACGCCGCTGGACTTTTTTGTGGGGCTACGTAAAGTCCCTTGTATACGTAAATAAGCCACGAACAATTGAAGCACTGAAGGCCAACATTACTCGTATAATAAATGAAATCGAACCCGAAATGTGCGAAAAAGTGATAGAAAATTTGACCTGCAGAATGCGCGCTGTGGAGCGCAGTCGCGGGGGCATTTGAAAGATGTTATTTTTCATAATTAATGCCATAGGATGTTCTTTTAAATAAATATATTTTTTTTCACAATATCTTAAGTGTAGTTTGTTTTATTTCATTTTAAAGTTAGAGCACTCTTAAGTGGACACCCTTTAGTAATAAAAAAAATTAAAGGATAAAATATTTTCTTAACATAATCATATTTTGAAGTTATTTTAATATTTTATCTACGCCAGTGAGATAAGAACTTCTTATCCCACTCATTTTGAGTGAGATAAGAAGTTCATTAACGCACGCGTTTTTCTCTGCTTTTAACCAATCAAATAAAAAAGTCAAAATGTCAAAATAACCCTAAATTAAGTCTTGGACAAAAATAATTACCGTTTATTTTTTCATTTAGAGGCGTAGATAAAAATTTGTACAATATACGTGTGATAACGCTTTATTAACGTACTTTTGCGATTGCCCAACTCGTGCTACGCACTCGTTGGGCAAATTTCGCATGCGTACGTTAATAAAGCTCTTATATCGTAAATAACTATTAAAGTATCAATAATTGTTTAGTTTAATTAAAATAATAACGGACAATGTTAATGGGGAAAATTGCGTCAAAAATGTTTATTGGGATGTTTACTTTATAAAAATATTCAATTTAAATAATTTTTTAGATAATATTAAGTATACTATTTTTAATGACATTTTACTTACTGTAATCCTTAACGGACATATTTATCTCCCTGGCTCCTTTCCTTATAGAATTCAGGGCTACCAACCAAGTAGCACCTTCTGAAACTAGAGAACCTGCCAAAATAAAGTAGGCCTAGAAAACAAAACAAGAGATATTGTTTTTCAAGTTTTATGTTTTTTTTTTGTACCCAGAAAAAGTCATCTATGGGCTGTGGGTTCAAAACTCCAGAAATACCATGGTAAAATGACAGACCTGTTCCCACACAAAATATTCCAACTCCTGATATAAGTGATGCCACATATTTCATATTGGAATAGCCATATGGATGGTAGGAATCAGCAATCTAAATTTAAAAATATCACTGAAGATTTTAGGTGGCTTTGGAAGAAAGCTGTTAATTTTATGTCAAAATAATGACATTTCATGATAAATTAGGTTATAATTTGACGTTTGGTGTCAAAATGTCAAAGCTTACCTGAATAGATTTGTGTATTCCAAACGCCAAAATAAGCTGATTTATAGTATCAGCCAGCGAGTGAATACACTCGGAAAACATACTGTGAGATCCTGTATAAAGCCAAGCAAACAACTTGAAAAGACAGTTCGCCCCATTGCTAAAACGAAAACATTAAAAATTACTGTAAACCCAAGCCATAAAGCAAAAAAGATACATGACAACAGCAGTCAAAACAACTCTGCCGGATCTGCCCATAAGACCCCCTTCTTCTTCAACAACATCAGCAGCTTTACCAACCTCACGACGAAAATCACGAAGTCTGCGTTTTACAGTGAAAATATCTGAAAAAACACGAAATGTCAATTTTATGTCAAAATAATGACATAATTTGAAGTTTAATGTCAAAATCTCAAAGCTCCCCTGATTGATTTTACACTTTCTCCACTAATTAAACAGTAATTTTCCAAGGGTGGCTCTGAATGAAACTGTCAATTTTATGTCAAAATAATGACATTTCAGGTTAAAATTTGACATCCAGTGTCAAAATCTAACCTAAAATGTCAAAGGTACCATGATTTATGCTACAAAACACACAAAAAACTATCCACTAACTTTGTTGATATTTCTTTCTTTCAATATCCCTCTTTAACAGCTCTTTTTGTAAGTGTTCTTTGCTTCCCCAGACTTCCAGAGATTTAGCTTCAACGTCTTTCCTCCAATAAACAGTTATGGGAGGTTCAGACTCGTACGGCGAACGCCTTTTTGTTTTTGGAAGCGATTCCAAGTCTGATGGTTTAAGAGCAAAATCGGACATTGCTCGCACTGGTGTTATGAAGTTTCTTTCTAGTGAAGCTGCCTGTAAGTCTACACGTTTCCTTTTTTTCTGTGGTGGAGGTTTGACTTAAAAACATAAGAACTTAAAAAAATCCATTAATAAAGTAAATAAACCTTACCTTCTTTTACATTCTTAACAACTGTGGCTTCAGGTTCCTTAGGACCAATAATTTTTTCTTTTAACTTTTTTATTTGCTCCGACGACAAAAGTGGTTTAACTTTTTCAATATTTTGATTTAAACTTTGCTCTTTAACATTTTCCAAATTAATTTTTTCCTTTGGAGGTTCAATTTTTTCGGTTTTTAATAAGATTTCAGTTTGTATATCTTCTGTACATTCAGCATCTTTGCCTTCGGGAGCAATAATTTTTATTATTGGTGTTTTCAGAGGTTTTTCAACTACATTTTGCTGTAATTTTTTTTGGTTTTTATCTTTGGCTAGCTGCTTGGATAATATTAGCGTTCTTTTATTTAGTTTTATTATCGTTACGTTGTTTTGTAGAATATTCAGATGCCTTATTGTCGAACCTATAAAAATTATAAATAACTTTTAAACTATAAAAGGATTTCTAGCATCTAACCTAGGGATGTTGCACATTTTTCGACGCAAGCACTCTGACACAAGTGTTTTGCTAATAAATAACTTCTTGGTAACATTTTTTAAAATCGGTATATTTTATAATTACTTAGTACAAAATGGAATGATTGACATTTTATAATTATACTTATTCTTACTAAAACGGCGTTTCAAGAGAAACTAGAAAAATTTAGCACAACTATGTCGACATTTTAACGATAAATACCAAATAAATAAATATTTTTAGTTGGACAGATTAAATTAAGGTTAAGTTTCTGTCACTGTCACGGCGGCGTTGCCGAATTGTCAAATTACCACAGCCTACTAAATGAGAAAAACGCGGTATTGTTGAAATAATTTATTATTTGTACGCCAAGTTGATTTCAGTGTCTTGCAGACTTCTTTTGTTCATTAGTTTACTGCCATCTTTTTTAACGAACGCGGAGAATATCATTTTGTCGAATAAATATTCGCCCAAAGGCGTATCGGTTATTTTCGAGCGCTCTATGAGCCTGCCTAGCTCGCAAATGGACTTGTTCTGTTCTTCCATGAAGTCAGTGGTGATGAGGTCTTGGACTTGAAGATCTTTATGCTTCTCGGCGACGTTGAAGACTTCTATTAGCTTCTGAGAATGATTGTAAACAATATAAATTAACACACACGTAAGTACCTTTTTTTACCTCTTTAACAAATATTTCCATTTCCAAGGCTGTATTAAAAGCGTCTGCCGGGCCTTTGGGGGATACTTGGGGAGTGTCGATGCCTTTTAACTTGACTTGTCCTCCCCGCATGAGTTGGTAGTTAAAAAAAACCAAGGCGTGTTCATGCTCCTCCAAATGCATGTTGAAAAAGTACCCGTGACATCCGGGCAGCGCGATGTCGGTTTGTCCAAAGTGAGAGGCGATAGCCAGGTACGATAAGGCCGCGTTAAATTCGTGATAAATTTGCTCGTTCACTATATTTTCTACTTCTTGGTGATATCCATGCCTGCCCTTACGAGCCTTCGGTTCTTCGCATTGATTGGCTGTGCTGCAGTTGAGTTTTTGGCCGCTTAAAAGCACCAATTTATCCATATTTTGGTTCGAATATTCTTGGGGTTTGTCGAAGATTTTCTCCAGCAGCTTTTGGCTCTTGGGGGTTGCCAAGTTTTCGTGGTATAGTTTGGTCGACGTCAGTTCGCATGATTTTGGTGACGAAAATTTTTGAAGGAATGAGAAATAATTTGAAGCTAAATTCTGCATTATGAATTTTTCTTACATCCGAATAACCTTAATAATTTTAAAAAGATGTCAAAAAGTGACAAAAGTCAAAGATTGATATGTTGGTAGCAAGAAGAATAAATACTTTAAAATTTAGTCTTCTTGGTTGGTAGTAATCATAGACAAGGGATTGGTTGGCTGGGTGGGGGGTTTAGCATTAAATAAAAATTAAAAAAGTTTGTTAGATATATAATTATTCCAATGTAAACACTAAATATAAATAATAAATATACAATTGACATAACATAATCACATTTTATCACAATAGGCAATAAAAATATACTAGGTCTACTTGTTTAAAACTATTTAATGCGAAAAGCAACAAGTCAATTTTTAAATGTAGGCCCTCCATATTAATAATTCATTCATAAAAAAATATTGACTCTTTCAGTTCAAATAACATTTAAACAAAAAATTATAAATAACTAAATTCTAATAAATATTCTACCATGAGATAAGGTATTCAACTTAATAAGGGGGTGTTAATATGGACCCTTTTAATATAATTTATATTTAAGTTTGGACATTTTTAAGAAATTTGAAAAAATAATTTTTGCACAAACATAACCTTAAAATCAACCATTTTTATGTTTGAGTTCTCTAAAAAACGCCGACAACTGCATTTTTAAGGCAACAAAATATACCTACGAATTCATGGCAACATAATATTATATATAATACATAATATAATGGTATTTTACCGTTGAGTGGAGACTTTCTTAATCAACGCTTTTAATAATGCTAAATGCTGTTTAAATTTAGGCGACTTAAATGTGTATTAAAAAGATACAATTTATATTTACAGGGACTTTATGCAATTTATTTCTTTATTCAGATTAACACTGTTTATTGGAAAACCGGTAAAAACTCAACCTAGGATTTCCTTTTGAAATAAACCCAACAACACAACAAATCGAGCCACGGTTTTTTTTCGATATTTTTTTAACATTTTCTGTCTAAAGTTATTCTTAAAAACATCCTTCTTTATCTCTGAAAACATCGATATCGATACTTGTTTAGCCTAGTTAATCTGTATACAAATATATTTTCAAAATACCATTTTGACGCTTTCCCCCTCCAGCGCTTTCCCCTCTTTAAAAAAAAAAAAAAATAGTTTTATCTCGTTTTCTATTGGTTGCACAAAAAAAATTTCAAGACAAAAAATGAAGAGCTTGATTTTTACATACCTAAATATTTTTTACAACTTTCTGTATGTAGAAGATAGAGGGCGCCAATGATTTTTTAAAATTTTGAGCCTCTGATATTGATTTAAACTAAAAAAGCTAAATAGAATAGTTTTAAATCTAAAAAATATAAAATGTTTTAATAACATTTCCAGAAATATAAAAAATAAAATATTTTTTGATGTGATTTTCACCGATAAAAATAAGGGGTCCGTATTACCACCTTCCCCTACTCATGCTTAAATAGTGCGTAAAATACTGTAAACATTTTTAAAGTAAAATTAACATTTTTTATTCAGACTCTTGAAGTTTTTGATCAAAAACAAAAACTCCCAGCCCTTCTCCCACCCTTTTTAAGTTGGTGACGTGATCTGAAATTTCCTTTATGGCGTCAACTTGCTCTTGTAGATAATGTGTTTCCAGGAAGTCGCACAAATTTACGTCCATGTGGCTGGAAGCCACGCTGTGAAGAGATAGAAGACTCTACAAATGAAAAAAGTATTTCATGTTATAATTAAACTTTCATTTGACATCTCACTTCGTTGACTAGTTTTTCCAAGTCCAAGGCGGCCGTCATGGCCTCCTGAGCCGTGCTCCATTCCTGTTTCTCGGGCGCCTCGATGTTGTTCAAAACAATTCGCCCCCCTCTTTTGTTCATGTACTCCAATAATTTGTAGGCGTGTTCGCGTTCTTCTTCAGAAGCGGCTTTGAAGTATTTGAAGAGACCCATGAGGGCTACATCGTCTCTGTGGAAATTGTATGCCTGGAAAAGCAAAAATATGCTTTTTATTCCAAGGTTGTTAATTTGTTGACCAACTATTATAATTTTATTGACGGCAAAACGCAATTTTAATTTTAAAATTTTTGACCTTTGGCCTAATTCGAAAACATAAATTACGTCCACAATCTATATTAAATGGTCAATATTTATAAATTTAAATAAAAAATGCTGTTCAAAATATTGTTCAAAAATAATCAGGCTCAATTTTAATTTATCTAAATTCAATTTATACTATACAATACCTAATTTAGGTAAGTCTATTTTTCCAAAATAAAGTATAAAAGTTATACAAACATGAAACTATATGAAACACTAGCTCTATACAATAAAATATAAAATTTATTACCATTTAAAATAAAAAAGTTATTAACTTTTCAAGAGCCTAATTTGCCCTGGGATTTATTAGGTAATTTGTTGAAAAATGTTCAAGAATTGACATGGAATCTGTTAAACAATGTTTTAAGATTCCAAAAATTCCACTCCTTATTCAACCTAATAACAAAAAAGTTATAGGATTTTTTTTATTGACGCGCATTTCTCAGATTTTAATTTTAAAAAAATCACTTTAGGTAAGTATATATGAGGCGCCGTTTGTATCATAATTATTCCATTTAATATATATAAATATTTACTAAAAATGTTTATTTTTTTGTAAATATATATATTTTTACTCAATATATATATATTTTTACTTAATATATATATATTTTTCAAAAATATATTTAAATGGATAAAGATATATTTATTTTACGCAAATATATATATATATTTAATTTGTACAAATATATATAAAGTAAGCTTTAGCAGTCCGCCTACAGATGGCGCTGCTTACCAAAATTAAATTTGGCAACGTTGCCCTTATAAAAGTATGTTGGTGCACCTGTTTTAATAGTGCAAGTTTCCGGCGGTTAATATTTTATTTAAATGTAAGCTAACATTGTAAGTACATTTATTACCTAGGTAAGTTGTATAATCTGTGTAGGTAAGTACATTTATTTATTTCTACTTGAGGTAACTTTGTGACAATATTATTACAAATTTTAGAGATCTAAATATGGATTTATGTGATTTTTTTAATAGTATTGCGTTAGATTACGAACAAGGAAGTCGTTGTCTATTTACAGAAGACATTCGTTTGTTGGAAGATGCCCTGAATAAGATAGAGTCATGTCTAGAGGCTATACTTGTTATTTTGGCTCATTTAAGTGATGGACAATCACACAATTTATTGTTACTCTTATATCGTGCATTATGGGAACTTCAAGAAAGGCTAAGCTTAAAACTTGATGGTAAGTAGGTTTATATTAAAATGGGAACTGAAAGTGATATGTATATATTATTCTAGATTGTATGCCTAACTCATCCTCAAGCCTTTTTATCCCAATTCGAATTTCAAATGGACTTCCAGGAAGGCCCAAAATAAATATATCAAAGGACCAAATTATTATTCTTCGCAATCTTGGGATGAATTGGAAAAAGATTGCTGTAACTTTGAATATTTCAAGACCAACACTATATAGGTTGAAAAATAAATATTGTATCAATGAGAGCTCTTTAATGTCAGATGGGGAGCTTGATTCCATTCTTGCTAATATTATTCAAAATACCCCGAACTCAGGTGAAGTTTATGTGAGTGGTGGTTTAAAGGCTTTAAATATTAAAGTACCAAGGTGGAAGGTCAGGGAAAGATTAAAAATTTTGGATCCAATTGGTAGGGCCCTGCGGAGACACAATTGCATCATTAGAAGAAAATATAATGTTAAAGGTGTAAACTATTTATGGTATGTAGTAAAATAAGTTTTTTGATTTTTTATAAGTATAAGTAACTGACAATTTTAAAAGGCACATGGACTCAAATCATAAACTTGTGAACTACCGTTTTGTTTTCCATGGATGTATAGATGGCTATAGTAGAATGGTGATTTATCTACACTGTTTGAATAATAACAAAGCCCAAAGTGTCCTTACATGTTTTCAAGAGGGAGTTATTCAATACGGTTTGCCAAGCAGAGTCCGTGGCGACCGAGGTACTGAAAATATTGCTGTTGCTAGATTTATGATAGACAAAAGAGGCTGCAATCGGGGTAGCTACATTGTAGGACGATCGGTACATAATCAACGCATAGAGAGATTGTGGTCTGAAGTTAATCGCGTTGTATCCAAGCAATATAAAGAGTTATTTCTCTATATGGAAGCCACTGACATATTAAATCAACACAATGAAAACGACTTAGTATCTTTATCATACGTTTTCCTGCCACGCATAAGACGTTCTTTGCAAGAGTTTGTCCGGCAATGGAATTTCCATGGGTTGAGTACAGAAGGTAAGGTTGAAGAAATTCTCAATATATGTATTTCCACATTAAATGTTTTAGGGGGCCGATCACCTAGTGAAATGTTTTATACTGGAACAATTTTGGGAAATTGCCCTGCTGATGATGATGTTTTGTATTTGAACAATCCGGAAGAATATGGTGTTGATTACATGGGTCCCTTATCACAAATTGAAACCAATAACAATGTTGTAGTCCCTAATTTTGTAATCTCTCTTAATGATAATGAAATGCTAAGAATAATTAATGAAGTTCCGGACCCATTAGCAGATGATGGTGCATCTGGTATTAATTTTTATTTACATGTTCGCGAGTTAATAAGGTCTTTTTATAATGACAATTAAAAATAATAAAACATAGGTATTGGTAAATAATAATCAAAATGTATGTAAGTGGTGATGTAACAAATATAAAATTTACAACTAAAAAAGTTGAGGTTTAATTTTACAAGACCTAATGTTAATTTAAACAATAAGTTTTACTCTTGCACAAGAACAACTTTTCTCACGTGTAAAAAATTTGTAATACACTTTTATTTAACAATAATATTGCATTATTTAAAAGTAAGATATCTGCGAGTTGATCTTTATATTTAGAAACATTAGGTGTTTTAACGGTGCTAATCCCGAACTAGTTCGGACATACCAGGCATGCCCATTTTACAATTTAAAAAGCGCATGTCTAGGATGTCCCGAATTAGTTCGGGATTAGCTCCACGAAAACAGGTATAATTGTTATTATTTATCAAAAGGATACTATGGAAAGGTCCCTTGTATTAAAAGAATAAAACTGACTTTATTGTATAAAATTTATTTAATACAATATAAATAAATGATTTTTTCTTTAAAAAATAAAACTGCAAATTTAATTTACGAAAAGAAAACCGAAAACATTTAATTTATAACAAAACTTTAAAAAATATAAAATAAAAAACATATTAAAACTTAAGTAATACTTCAAGAGGTAGTTTCACGTTAAATAATTTTTTTATTAAATAAGACCAAATTGTTTGGAGTTTCCAACACCAAATTCAAAATATTTTTTAAAGTCTTCATACTTTTTGTGTATTGTTGGAAGCTGTAATTGTAGCGCACATGTATTTGCGACTGGGTAAATACTTTGATCATGTAAGAACATCAATTTAGGCTTATTTTCAAAACCTAAAGGTGGAATTTCAGCAGCACCAGTAAAAAATATCAGGAGGTCTTCTAGAGAAACTGTACTTTCTCCATCTAAAATATAGTTATTTATTAAAAGCAATAGTTACCGCTTCGATACAGATCAAACCTTGACAGTCTACAATGTATGCTCGCCAGAAATATATTATTTGACTTTCAACACATCGTTTAGAGCTTCCAGCTTCACTGTAGTCTATTTGGAGCAGATCATCTAGTATATTGGCAGTTAATAATTCCTTTTCACCGCACAGTAACTCTTTAAAAATTTTCGGATTATTTTTTATCAAATCGCAAATTCCTGCTATTTTAAATCCTTGCCACAGTTGATCCAGAGCAGGTCTTAACCTATGAAAACCATAAAATTCGATGAGGTCTGAAAAAAATATGTGAAAGTAAATATAGAGAATATTTTGTAGAATATTTTTACCCTTGTAGATTTTATCCTTTTCTTCTAGTTTGGTGATAAAATAGCATCCTGCAATAGAGAATAAAGGAACATCTGTGACATATTCTTGCAATTGTTGAAGATCATTTAGATCAAGCAACTTTAAAACTTTTTCTTTAATATCATCTTCTAAGTCATCTATATTAGGGACATTTTCACATAATCCGGTGGTTAGAAGCGTAAATAAACTTTCCTTAAAAAAGTGTGGGGCAGGACCTCCATGAATTAGTGACAGACAAATTATTTTGCCTACATTTAGGTAATCAAGGTTGTCCAAAAGTTCCCTGTCTAATCGTATAAACTTCTTTGCATGTCCAAAAAACATTCTGCTGTCTTTAATATATTGTATTACTAAATAAAACATTTCCCTTGTAGGCCCTCCCAGGTCCACTGCACCTTCTGAATTTCCGTCAATGTCACTAAATTTAACAGAAATTTTTGCCAATGGATCAAATGATTTTCGGTTTATGGTTCGAACGCATGATGAAAAAATGTCCTCCCTGTAAATATTAAAATATGAATTTTTTTCTTCCTTAATCTGACCCCTTAGAGATCGAATAATTGAGTCCACTGAGGTTTTAGTTGCAGAGGGCTTATCCTCTATTAAACTATTTTGTATTGCACGTTCCAAATCATTTCGAAACAAATTTTCATCGTCCTATAAATTTAACAAATTAAATAAGAAAAAAAAAAATCATTATTTCTTACATTTTCTACCTTATTCACTCCATCTATATCTAATGTTTCAGTGCTCTTATGGGTAGCATTAAAATCATTTGAGGTAGAAGTGAAATTCATATCATCATTCCAGTCGTCATTAGATGAATTTACTTCCAAATTTTCTGTATCAGGATTAATTTCTTGCTTAGGTCTCACATAAACTGCCTTTTGATAAAAAACTGATTTCATGGAAGCGCCATCTAATATTTTACCAGGAGGAAGACTTGGTTTTACTAATCTGCCCCCCATAGGAACCATAAGTTCAAAATCAGTTCCATTTAATTGAGTCTCAAATAAATTTTTAATAGTTTTTTCAATTAAATCATATGTCCAGCTGGAGGCAAATTGTACATTTGATATAGCAAATCCTTAAGAAAAAAGAATGACTGGTTAATATTGAATTTATACCAGCTTAATAACATTAATAGTTTAACATTAGCTAAATTCAAAGTAAAGTGGTTGAACAATACCTATTTATTAATAATATTAATTTGAACAATGTTTTAAGTAAAAGCCTATCTTTAGCCAGGGGCCAATTCCACTTATAAACCTTTCATTGCATGCAGACACTTATTCATGAAAAATATAAAAAATACAACGGTTTATTTATTAATTTGATGCTAGAACAGCTTGATAAAATCTATACTAATTACATAATATTATATATAAATATATATTATATATAAATAATATAATATACAGGGTGTTCCAAAAATAGTGTGCAATACTCGACATGTGGTTTCTAAAAACAAAAATAAATCTTCTTAGGTATAGGTTGGCTATAAATCTTCTTATAGGTTGGCTACAGTCCCTTACAGGGGCGCCACTGAAAATGGTTTTTAATTATTATTTTCAAAAAGGCTGGATATAAAATAATGAAATTTTGTATGCCATTTTTCTTTTTTAATATAGTATTTTTAATAAAAAATATTAAAAAAAAAATACAGAAGTTTTCCTAAAATACATTATTTTATCCAACGGTTAACTGTTTTAGAAATAATAATAAAATATCTTCAGGGGTGCCTCTTTAAGAGGCTGTGTCCCTTAGGGGCCACTTGCCGACCTATGTTCATAAAGTTTTTTTCCCATTTTTAGCCCAAAAAACTGCTTGTAGTGTATTGCACACTATTTTTGGGACACCCCTCGGGACACCCTGTATATGTTTACCTGTCTCAAATGCCCAACATTTATTAACACCTCTTAATGTTGAAATATGCTTAGGACTTTTCACTAACATAACATCTTTGGTAAAATATATTTCAGTTTCCCTTTTTCTTTTTTTTGCTTTGTTTCTATTTTCTTCAAAAACAGGTCGACACCCATCATTTGATCTTCTATTATTTACACTGGGAAATAATCTTCGTATTTCATCCCTCATTGATGACGACGTATTTGGTGGCATGGCACTATTATTGTTATTTGTATTTTCTATTGGCCGATTAGCCTCTCCTGCTGTTAGTGTCTCTGGACAAGCACTATTCTGTTGCTGTAAACGTCTCATTGCATGTTCCAAAGAACTCCTTAACTCTTCACTGTTTAATAAATCCGAGACAATGGCCTGCACGTTTTGACTCATGTTTTTAAAAAATTTATACAAAATAAATAAATACTTTAACCTCTAAAATAATAGAAAATATTAACCGCCTAAACAGGTGCACCAACATACTTTTATAAGGGCAACGTTGCCAAATTTAATTTTGGTAAGCAGCGCCATCTGTAGGCGGACTGCTAAAGCTTACTTTATATATATTTGTACAAATTAAATATATATATATATTTGCGTAAAATAAATATATCTTTATCCATTTAAATATATTTTTGAAAAATATATATATATTAAGTAAAAATATATATATATTGAGTAAAAATATATATATTTACAAAAAAATAAACATTTTTAGTAAATATTTATATATATTAAATGGAATAATTATGATACAAACGGCGCCTCATAAGTATACATAGTATATATAGTATATATAGGGTGAATCTCTAATATTGTGTTTTGAACTTTCATAATTAAGTAGATATTACAGCCTGTAATTTACAGGTTCCAGATTTTTAACCGCAATTAATTATTTTTTACAATGTTTTTAAAAGTCTAAAACCTATCCTCCGTGCCTGTTACTCTTTCTAGGTTAACCTATATGTTTTCAAATATCTGAGGTAGTAAAAGCTTGCATACTAAAAATATCAGTTCACTAAGTAAATTAAAAACATCCAAAGCAATCGAATCAAATATAAAATATTATTAAAAATTAAGAAAAATAATTTTTATAACCATTTATGTAGGTGTTACAAAAATTGATTCTATCCTCCGTGAATCGGTTTTTGCTTTAAATTTTATGCAACGGATGATAAGCAAAAACCTCTGTTTACGACATATAGATGCATGTGATTCCTGAAGGTCAGTTAGAATTTATATGCAGATGAGAGTGTTGCTGTTTTATAATTCAAAAGTTTAAGTTCATTAATTTGCCATTTAAAAACCTATCCACCGTGAAGTGTAATATCTCAGTAAGTATTTTTTTATAAATATTTTATGTATGTACCAGTGTATTTTAAAAAGCATCTTGCTCAAAATATTTTAGAAAAATAGACCTAAATGGATTATAAATGCTTTTAAAATTTCAAATTGATTTATTTTTCCGTTTCCTAGAAACTTGTGATGGACCACGAATGTGAAACACCCTTTGTAATATTTATAAATTTAACATTTAAAATTATACGTTTCTTGTAGCAGCAGATCAATAGATAATTTAATGAACAGAAAATATATTAAATAAAATGATCTTTTATATTAAAATATTTTAATAATACCTACCATTTTTATAACATTATAAAATAATAATTAATACGTCATAAAAATTGTTCTTTATTATAGAAGGCCATTTTATTAATAATGAATAAGAAAATAAATATTTTGTGTGGTGGTAAAATTTCCCAATTAATTTTTATTGGTATTTTTTGGGTATTGATCCCTCACGAAAAGTTATTTTATTGAAAAACCGAAACTGCGAATTGTTAAATCAAATTTACATGCTTCCATGTCACAAATAAAATAATTAGTATAATTAGTAAAACAAATTTTGTATTGTGATTTTTGAGTTTAGGAGGTGAAAATACATTGGAAAAAATATACATTTTGGATGTAAAACAGTGTTATTTGATATTTTAAACCATAATTAAAAGTTTGTGAGCCAAAAAATGATGCAATTAAAACTTAGGCAGCTCTCCAAATACTTGGGTATAAACGTAAACAAGACTTTATTTAGATAGGTACTTTAAAACAATAAATAATAGTTTGTTAAATTATTAACTTTAATTGAATAAAACGAAGCCGGCCGCTGTACAAAACAAAACATAATCGATTCTACAACCTTTCCAAACCCACCCTATACGAAGCCAACAAATAAAAACAAAAATAATAACATACCATAGACAAATAGGCATAGCTGGCGTAGAGTTCCAAGTTTATTTGCTTGTTGATGGCATCCTCGCAATCTTTGTGAAAGTTTTGTCTTAATTGCGAATGAGCCATCCTGATTTTTCAGCAAAATTCACCGGTGTCTTAGGTCTTGAAACGTCAAATTCAGACTGATTTTCCACCATTGAATTGCAGCAGTATTGCGTATTGAGTTTTCCGACGCTGCATTGCCATATCGTGCAATTTCGATTAATAATAAGATTCTATATTTTTTGGTATATTTGGCAATAAAGTTTTATATGCACATTTGTTAATGTTATGCTGATAAATATTTACATAATTAATTTATAAACTAAACTAAATATACTTACTTATGAGTAAGTATTTTTTTGAAGTAATAACAAAAAGTTTATTAATATTTAATGGGAATAAATTAATGAAGTTTTTTTGTAAAATTACAGTGATTTTAATTAAAATATTTGTCAACCCCTATCCTTGGCTTTATTAACCTTTGACCTTTTATTTTGTTTAATATTTTGTACAAATCTATTTTTAATTTTTGTTTTTCAAGCGATGCATCTCTATATTTAAGTTTAGTGCATTTTGGGTTGCATATGTTTAGTTTCACCAGGAATTCTAAAAATAAATGCATTTGCCATTTAATTTCCATTAATAACAAAATTGTTAATGATATAAGAAAATTCGTTAATATCAATCTTGTTTAAACAATGATTTTATAAAATACAAAACAATGATTTAAAAATATTTTTTACATTTTCGACGTTATATGTCAGCGCAACTAGACGCCTAAATAATTGAAAACCCAGAGAGAGCTTAGTTCGTTGATCTGTAAGAAAAGTGCACCGAAAAATATAGATTTGTCGAAAACTTTCAGACGGAAATTTGGCGCCAGTATATTTACGCGTCGTATGAAACGTTTCCTCATCTAGGAAATAAGTTTCATTTTTATATTAATGGAAAAATACACGAATATAAAAAAAATTCTTAAGTTAAATAATTTTTGTAATTATAAAATTAATTACAGTCGGTGTTTTAAAAATATAATTTATTCGAAGAACATTCAGTCATGTCAAAAACAATGCTCGACATTTTAATTAAGGGTTGGTGCTGAAAAACTCCATTTTCATGTGATTTTCATTTCTGAAGACGTCTGACGCGTGAGAGATGAAAATGGTTTTTCATTACATTATTTTTATATACGGCTTGACTCGAAAGTAATATAACGCCATACATTTTAATTTATTTAAGTATAAAAACTAATTTTTGTTCTAATAGCTTTTAAAGCATAAGATTTTATTTTTTTTATCTGGACTCGTGTTTTTTTGTTAGGTTGGTGGCTTATGCCAGTTTGACTTGGTATTTTTAGTATTTAAAAATGGTACTTCTGCTAAAGAATTTAATTAAATACTGTCAAATTGACAATAATATTTATTATTGATAATTTACTTGTCAATTATAAATAAAAAGATAATTATGCCAAAAATAATAGCAACGAATTCAAATGTAAAAGCCCTTTTGAGGGCAAAACTTAATTTTTATGAAATTATGCCAAATGCCACAATGGAAGAAAAAATACATCGCCTTATGGACATTTTTAGAGTAAAAAAAAGTAACGAATTTGGTTTTATAAATATTAAATCACATATTATTTTTACATTATTCACCATTGGACAAAATTTACGTTCACAAAAAATTTTAATTTCTTTTATATAAATTCTTTTCAAAGCGAAGATTATTATCCGCTAGGAATACTTTCTCTTCTGGGCCGTAAAGCAACCTACATTTAACTACTTTTTTATATGATTTTACTCATCCAAGCACCAAAGCCAAATTAATTGCATTTTTAACTACGAATTTCGACAACTCAACTTGACAACTGCACAATGTAACCTACAATATTTTATACATAACCACAATTAGATTTATAACTAGCTTAGTTTGTTTTAATCAATGCGACCAACTTGACAACTATATTTACCAACCAAAACCCTAAATTTACAACGTTGCCGCAGTCCAGATAAAAAAAATGAACTTGAATTTATGTAAAATGTTAAAATTAAATTTTTGACACAAACTGTCATTTGAATAGATATCTGTAATATACAGAGTGTTTTGTTAAAAAATAGTAATGCAATTTTGTTTAATATTAATTAATATAATTTAAATGTATGGTATTTTAAATTTGAAAATCAATTTCTCTTAAATTTATAAAATAAATAAATTATATTATCTAATTAGGTAAAACTTGATTAAAGGTTACGTAATTGGCTGGATCCGAAGTATAAAAAAATGTTTCCCTAAAAGAATGATATAAATCAATCCCCTGCCTAAAAACTAAATCAAACAAAACGGAAATCAGATTTACAGTCGAGAAAATCCCTCATAAAACCGTGATTATAGTGTATCCTAAATAATTTTTCCGCAAAACTGAAACATTCTGTAATCTTTAATGTCAAAGTTCATTCAGGGCCCTGGATTTTATCCTAAAGGTCATGCTCTCGCCCACATTGTGGACCAAAAGTTAGTGCCGCAGTACGGAAAATTAAATTAACAGTAAGTCAGTTATTATTACATTTTATGGATTTAATACATTTTAATTAGCAATATTTATAAAAGTTTTAATTTTTCTGAAATTGTTTTAATTTTTTTGATATATCCCTAATTTAATAAATTAAATATGATGAAAAATATATCCCTAATTTAATAATTTAAATATGATAAAAATATCGTATGTACTTTTTATTCTCGTGTGCTTGAATGAGGATTAGCGGCCGTTGCTGCTAATACATTAATTTCATTATTTCCACCTGTGACTGTTGCTCGACGAACTCTTTTTTTCGGTTGAACACTCCCGTTTGTAGTAAACTGCTTGACTGTACGGTGAAATGAAGTACGTGATCGAATTTTATCCGGAAAACGCTGAGCGTAGATATTAACAGCATCATCAAGATACCTACCTGCTTCTCCATAAATCAAAATCATTTCTATTTTTTCTTTCACTGTTAAAAAATCCATTATGAATAACTGCTTAACGAAAGAAGGTCTTTTTGTTTGCTAATTAATCTTCGAACTAAATTGATTAAATAATGCTAAAATATAAATAGTTTCTTTATACCTCAATAATAATTATTATTTATAACTAAATAGCATTTTTGTATAACTCAATTAGGATTACATTAATTAATTGACAAAATAATGATTTTTAATCTTAAATTTACAATGCGGCTATGTAACCTAATTGAATTGACCTTTAACGTATGTTTCAATGGAAGCATTTCAGAGAAATCGTTATTCTTTACCAAAGAGGCTGATATTAAATTACAAATTATAAATAAATCGTTTGAGGCTACAATTAACGACTTTGTTAAACTTTGTAGACATGAATAACTTTTATAACTCCATTGAGCACTAACAAAAACCCAAACAATTTTTCTATTCTTCTAATGTTTTCGAAAAATCCAGGTTTATTTTTTATTTACAACCCGCGGCATTAATTACTCAACGTTATGAATCGGGACTGAATACACCAATAATTTTAAATATGCCCACACAGAGAAGTCGAGTGTATTTAAATCTGGAGAACAAACTGTTTCTGAAATAATTAATACATTAATTTATATATAAACCTGATTTTGCGAAACATTTTAAGATACCTATAGCGCCCCCAGAAGGAATTTTCAGACATCTGTTTATAGAAACTTTTTTTTTATTTTTACGTGAAGAATCAGCCCCCAAAATATATTAACGTTATTTCCGGACACCCTGTATGGTGGATCAAATCAATTTTCTATAATTCTACTGCACATTACGAAATAATGCTATTTAAACTAATTTTGCGTCGTTTAAAACAAACAACATTTAATAACAAAATCCTATATGGGTGATTCTACAAAAGTTGGGCAACTTTTGACCTCATTTTGTTTATATAATTTTCGGAAAAAATTTAACAGTATTTTGTTATGAGAACATAGATAATATAATAAATATACAGTCACTTTTTCAAACAGTTTCTGAAATATCTGTGTTTTCTAAATTTGAATGCAAGGGAAGTGACGAGTATACCAGGGTACTAATTAAATACATAATTTATTGTAAAATATAAGATTTATTGCAACTTTGAGCATATTATACATTAAATATCTTAAAATCAAATAATACCACACATCAGTGGCGGCTGGTGGATTTTGGGTATACCGATATCTCAATTATTAGATATGGGACCCACACCAAATTTTGTGAGTTTATAATGACATTAAACAAACAAGTTCTGCGCAAGCAAAATTTAAATTGAAGTTTGCGAAAAAAAGATAACCAAAACATCGAACATGGAACTGGCGACACGGTACTGATGAATGGGATACAAATTTGAGATTATAATTCGGAATTAAGTATTTTACTGATATTTTTTATTAGTGGATGCTACTTATCAATAATTCACATATAGCCTTATATAAATTACAATGAAATATAAATATATACATAAGAAAATAACTACTCACCACAGTACTGAAATTTTTACTGGAACTATACATGCATTCACCACAACTTCGCCGATTGCATTGTTTTCAAGATGACTGTCGTGCAAATGGCGGGCTCTGTAGGTAATTTTTTACCAACACTTGAGTTAAAACGAGGACTTGACGTTTAAACTTCAATATTTCGCAGGAATTTTGAATTTTAACATTCGACACAGAACTGACGGGTAAAAGTGAGTACAAAGATTATCAATTTTTTAAAAATTGCTATTATTCGAATCTATGATAAAATATGAAAAATACATTATTTAATGTTTTATAGTTTTTTAGTGAAATTGAAAAATTTAAGATAAATTGAATATATTTTAAAATAAAATCACTCAAATATTTGATTCAGGAGTTGTGACACGCCAAGGTACTGATGTTTTGAATATTTATTATGTTTTTCTACAAACTTGCTTTTTGAAAAAATCCATTAAAATTGGGTGGACAAGTTAAAAAAACCTGGATCTTTTGTAATATACTAAAATATTTACAAAAAATATTAAAATACCTACTCTATTGACTGATGACATCAAGATGTCCAACTTTTGTAGAATCACCCATATTAATAATTCAACCATAATTCTTGTAATTTTCAAAAAGGAGCTTATTTTTACAAACCTTTTTGTAAACCCATTAAAATAAGTATTTTTTGGAAATTGGGAACATAAATGAAAACGAATAACAAGAATAACACATTAAAATTTAAT